AGGGTAGCATGCCATCCTTTTCTGATTGCTGGGTGAATGGACTTGATGTGGTTGAGAAATTGTTTCAGAGCCGGTCGGCCATGTGGCCAGATGACAAATGTGTCATCCACGTACCTCTTCCAGTGCGCACCGAGTGTTTTACCACACTACAAGTGTACCGAGGTGCAATCCCTCCCTCCTCCCATCTCTAACCCACCACCTCTCTCTTCCCCTGTCTCATCCCCCCTTCCCGTCTCTACCCCTCCTCCCTATCTTTGCTCCACCCCCTCTCTCTCCCCCTGTCTCTGTCCATCCCCCCCATTTTCTGCTGGGTGTGTAGTGTCTTGTAAAATCACTCAGTCGGACACGTTGTTACAGGTCACCTGCTTACACTTTATTACTCTATTCTTGCACCCATTGTAGGCACTCCTGTTTCTATCTATACGGCCACTTTTGTTAACTAACTTCCCCTATCTACTTTACATCTCGCTAACCTGCCTGCGGCAGCTCTTCCTCTCAGCAGCTCCGCACTCACAGCTCCGCACACAGACAACAGCTCTCGCTCTCAGCAGCTCCGCACTCGAGGCTCCGCACAGAGCAGCTCCCGCTCTCGGTAGGTCCGCACTCAGCAGCACTCACACAGAGCTTGCACACAGCAGCACTCACACAGAGGATCGCCCACAGCAGCGCTCACACAGAGGCTCGCCCACAGCAGCGCTCACACAGAGGCTTGTACACAGCAGTGCTCACACAGAGGCTTGCACTCAGCAGCACTCATACAGAGGCTGCACACAGCAGCTCTCACACAGGGCTTGCACACAGCAGCGCTCACCCAGAGGCTTGCACACAGCAGCGCTCACACAAATCTAAATATAATTTCATACATTTATAAACAACCTGACGTTACCCGTCGCGGTCCGTGTAGCCCCGGTTACGCGGACCGCTAGGAGTAGTTTCTGAGTCATATTGACTCAAAGGAGCTTCAAGAGGTTATAATGGTAAATGGCTGCTCGGATTGAGAGTTTGTGATTGTGGTATGGGTCTGGAAGGGATGGTGGATTAAAATAGGGTGGAAGCCAAACTCGCGCAACTCATTTTACATCAAGCCTTTAACTCAATACAATATACAAATAATGAGTTAAATCTGGTTTATTTCGTCACAAAATAAGCATTTCCTCTTGCAAAGCAAAATAGTCAAAGAAATATTACAATTAATCAATTTTATTCGTGAGGTCAAATGTCATAATTATGGGAACCGATAAGTTTAATGCAAAAAATTAAAGTGTGTCGTGAGTGAGAGCTGTACCATTTTTTTGGTAGAGAATATGTATGCTCATTATTTTCACATTACGGAATTACGTCAACTTGACTGATCATAAGCGGAGCAGATTAGGTATGGCGATTTCAACCGTGAATGTAACACGGCAGTGTTGAGGGAGTGGGAAGAAGTGCCAATCAAATCAGTGCTTATAACAAGGGGTTTTTTTTTGTATACTTAATGATTGGATTGCACCCATCTGAATGAAGACTTGTGAGATTAAGAATGACATACGGGATTTGATTACCGTGCATTTATGGAGAGGAATTTGTGAAGTAGCTGTGAGGGATTATTCCCACCGCACATGGAAAAGTAGCCAAACGCGAACTTTTGATGAACCATGCCAAAGGATTGGGAGATTAAAGAAGGCTTTTGTGAACACAGGTACCAAAATTAGAAGTCTTGTAAAGATATGTGCAGTGTAAGTACAAGTACAGGACCTTAAGATAATCAAAGGCCACCAATTGCAAGAATCCAGACTTAAGCAGATTTCTGTGTAGAGTGGTATTTTTAAATGGAATACACATTGGACTTAATCAGATTATAGTGCGAATTCTCAAATATCACTTCTAATTGTCATTTCACAGCAGTGATTTTATTTAATAGGATCCACTCAGGACGTGGGACATGTTTTGCGTCATATTTCTCGGTCAATAATGTACTCTCACAGTTGGATGAACCACCTTGACAAGTGGGATTTTTTTTCCTTCCCTTTTTAATGAGCTTCACAGCTGCTAGGTGTAATCGCATACTAAAATGCATATTTGACTCTTGCGCTGTAAAGATAGGCACACACTGAATGATCCCCCTTCGTTGTGTCGAGTTTGTGGTGGAGCACTGTGGCAGTGGTTCACGCACTGCACGATGCATCCAGCGAGCCGTGTTCGAGTCCCGGCCACGGTCAATGTTAGTGGCGAATTATTTCTGACCCGGGCTTTGTTGATGCCTCTCCTCCGACCTGTACAAACCAACCGTGGTGAAGTATGGTAAAACCAATCCCCATGACTGACGTGGCATGGGGATGTCCTCATTCCAGCAATATATTGACAAATTACTGTTAGATTAAGTTGATTGCGTGACTTTATTGTGTTGAGTGTCTTGTAAATGTAGTGGAGGGTTTATTTAAATTGGAAAAGCAGCGCTGACTCGATGGGATCGTGTCATGAACGAAGACGTTCGGAAGCGACTTGGTGTGGCCCCCACTGCTTGAGGCAAGGCTTCGGTGGTACGGCCATGTCATGCGAAGTGAAGAGTCATCAGTGGCCAAAACTGCCATACGTATTGAGCCAGAGGGCTGCCGCTCACGCGGACGTCTGAAGAAGCGATGGATGGATCGAATAAAGGAAGACATGAAGACGGTCAACGCATCCCCTGAAGATGCCCTGGACCGAGCCAAATGGAGAAGACAATGCCGAAAAGCGGACCCTGTGCCACAGCGGGAACAACGCTAGGAAGAAAGAAAGGAAAAGCAGCGCACATGTCTATGAAAGGAAAACAAATATATAGAGCCCAAAAATACTGTGGAGCATGACTAAAACACATTCCCAGCGAGTAGTATTACATATCCTTGTTAATACTCTCTTTGGTTCTTTCGGTAAAGTCACGTAGAAATAAAATAAAATAAATAATAGAATACGACGTTTCGATTGCAAACATACACAGAGAGAGACGCATAAACAGAGAGACACACAGAGAGAGAGACAAACATACACAGAGAGAGACGCATAAACAGAGAGACACAGAGAGAGAGAGAGACAAACATGCACAGAGAGACACACACAGAGCTCTGTGTGTCTCTGTGTGTCTCTCTCTCTGCGTGTGTGTCTCTCTATGTGTCTCTCCCCCATGTGTGTGTCTCTCTCTGTGTTTGTCTCTCTCTCTCTGTGTGTATCTCTGTGTATGCGTCTCTCTCCGTGTCTTTGTTGTCTCTCTCTCTCTATATGTGTGTCTCTCTCCAAGCTTGTATTCATTCACACCTGATGATGGTTGCTTGTGTTGCAATCGAAACGTCGTATTCTATTTATTTTATTTTATTTCTACGTGACTTTACCGAATGAACCAAAGAGTAATCCATGCAGTCACGAAAGCTTAAAATCATCCTCGTTAATGTTTTTTTTACAGAAGTTATATGTTAAGAAGTTATCTGCTCAGGGAATTATATAAGTAATTAGCTATTCATCAAAGCTAACACAAGAACATCCCTTCAGATCAAGTCATCTCATGGGCTCAAAGCAAAGTTCCCTACTTCACAAATCATGTTCGCCATCCTTGTTTTGATTTGTCTTCTCAGATAAATTTCACCAGAGCTAAGAAATAATATACTGCACACATGCTACAGGGTGGACTTATGCGTTCACATGAACTTGGCAGCCCGAAGTTGGAATCCCAGCCACAGCTAACATTAGTGGTGTTAAATATCTGAACGGGTCCTGGTACTCCCCAATCGTTTCACCAACCCGTAATGACCAGCATGGTGAGGTATGGACAGACAACCCCATGATTGACACACGGAGGGGGGCCTTCATGCAGCAGTAGATTGACAACTTAATGAATGCCTACCCATGCCAAGTTGATCATGGTGGGTTTTTTTCCCCCTACTTCACCACACTGCTCATTGTGGGTTGATGGAGATCAGTAAACAAAGGGTTAATAATACATGACATACACGTAGTGAAAATACAACTTTAAATACAATTCGAGCTTGTTTATCGGAGATAATTGGAATTTTCATGGATTCGCAAAGGCCACCTCTATTACAGCAACGGGATGTCATGATACCAGGTGTGAGTGACTGAGATCTACGTGATGGTAGGATGCAAAGCAATTGCCCCATGCTGTGGGCATGTGACAAGTTTTAACAACATTCAATTCGATTAAATTAACTTCAAATATAATAATGATGCTCTTTTGAATGTCTGGATCGTTTAGTGATTTTCTAATACAGCCATTCGTTTCTTCATTTAAAATATCCGTTTTCCCCAAAAGGTATAAATAATATAAACCTTTTGTTTTTTACAGAACTGCCCCAGAGGATGTCAAATGCATCAGCTGGGTTACAGATTGATGAGACAGTCTATATATAAGATACAGTACATCGGCACATCATACATAAAATGTGCTATAGAGTCAGAGATGGAAGACGTTTTTAAGGCCATATAAATAGACACGAGGATAGGCATGTTTTATTAGCAATGTGTAACGCTCAAGAGACATTCCTGGTCCTGAGTAGGTGGGGCAGCGGTTACAGCAAAAACAAGCTTCTGGAAATTTTAAAGGCATTGGGTTATGTACCCTGGATGAGTTTTGGATTTAAACGTTTTAGATTTAGGATTTTCATATATTTTTTAGAGTGATTTGAGATATTTTTTAGGGTCTTCAGATCATTTTGCACCGTGTAATCCTTTCACCTGTCCTCACGCTCACAAAAGTGACATCACCGATGTCGCATTGCCCCACTTTTGGTAATGTAATTCTTTACGATAAATTTGAAACTAACTAAAACAAATTCGGTATCATCATTTACATATATATACCCAATTTTGGTTGAGGTCTATATTAGCATGGTTGGCTACGTATGGTGTGAAAGAAATATTTATACATATACACATTTTGAGATGATCTTGGATTATTGGTAAAAAAAAATAAGGAACATATCCCGAATATGTAGAACCTACTAATCGCGTCGTATGATTTTCATCCGCAGCTTTGGAATTCAGCACGACGGGCAGGGCAACGACTGCGAGCCGGTGGGCAAGCGGCCATTTATCATGTCCCCGCAGTTACTGTACGACACCAGCCCCCTGACGTGGTCGCGCTGCAGCAAGGAGTACATCACCCGTTTCCTTGAGTGAGCGTAGCACGGAGCCATGGCCGTGATCGATCACACATGTGTGCACCGGTGGGGCCGCGAGTCGATCGCAACACAAAGCCACGGAAAGCCAGCGAGGGACGGCACCGTCTCTCGCTGGTTTAGACAGCTATCAACCACATAGAGAGATGCGAACTTAAAATAAGTTGAATTGTCTCAAGAATGACATTGTTGGCATCTTGGGGCATGGTAGGCCACTGCTGTGAATTCTACAGCACTCTGCCTGTTAAGTCACCCAACCAATATGGACACATCACCTTTAATGTGGCCCAACTTGGTGGGTCGCAGAAGCTAAGCCGGCTTGTGCCTGGTTAGTACCTTGGATGGGTGACTAGCAGGCGTTGTAGGCATGGTTTCTGTGGGGTGGCTGGGCAATGCGAGTGCTGAGTGTCGCCTCCTCGTAGACTTGGGTTTTCTCGAGACGCTAAGGTTTCCTCTGACATTCCACACACACGTAACTAGTATTGGTCAGACATTCCAATGCAGGACCTTCCTGAAAACAAAAACAAAACATCTTGAGACATTACTGGGTAAATAATTTGCATTGTTATTAGTATTAGATATAAGGTGATCATCTACGATTGGCAATATTGGTGAGGCTGTAGACAACGTATTAGTGGTAGACACGTTTAAATAATGTTTTAAAAACGTGGCTACAGTCTTCACTGCAATTCATATTAAACCGTTTAACCCCATTTAGGAATGGTATGAAAGCAGCGCAAGCCAAATTTGCTCATTAATATTTCTATGCAATATTTTAATGTGTAATGAAAGGGAATAACAATGTGCCACTGCCACCACCCATGCCACAGAGTGCAGTGCATACCATATACGTTGTGTCTCAACGTTAATAATCTCTAACGTGGCCAACATCACTTTCACCACAATCCATCAAAAAAATATATTGTGTTTTACAGGCCAGAAAGCAACAATAAGAGGCCATGTTACATTCACGACTGGCTTTGCACAATCACGAAATACGTTTTTTTATATGCCAAAAATGTTTAATCAAAAATATCTGCAGCACATTAGCAGCAACGTTCCACACTAGCCTCAGTTATAAACGTAAAATGATGGCTTTGTTCAGCGCAGAAATCCTTTGCCCCACATCTCGTGACATTAAACTCTGTTATGATGCCCAGCCGAGGCTGGGGATTCTGCCTGGACGATGGCCCAGCAAAGCCTCATGACTTGTCCGTGCCATCCCTGCCTCCCGGGAGCCTCTACGATGTCAACCAGCAGTGCCGGCTGCAGTATGGGCCGGACTCACGCTTCTGCGATGGAGTGGACGTGAGTTGCTGATTTCGACCACAGATTTTAGTGGTGTCATGGTTATCACACTGTTACAAAGTGATAATCAATTACTTCTGATTTATGCAAATGAAATGCCAATGTTACATATAAGCCAGATAATGAAACAAGAGAATGCAATAGTCAATTCAAAGATAACCCATAGAAATTAGATGATACATTCGTACTTAATTTAATCACGATCCTGATTCGTGACAATTCACCAGAGACCATCATTCATTAAATGTATATCGACTTAGACTCCCAGAGAGTATCCTAACTCATGAGAACATGTTTTTAAAATTATATATGCAGGAGGTTGTTAGGTTCACAACATACTTTTTGTATTCGTTTATTTTTAATGAAAAAGGGCCAGTCGTCGCCAGTGATATATTTTTTTCCTTTTAAGGCCAGAGTGTTATTGACGAATGTGTTGAGTGTTTCGTTACTGTCTTTAGTGACTTGAACTGGCATTCTGCTGCAACTGCAATTGAGTTTCTCATCACCATCTAACAACAAGAGATCAGTGTGACCTGCCAATCCCGCCTCCGAGTTGCAGCAGAATAGGAAAACCACACAATTCCCTGAACATTACGAAGTGTTCATTTTCACACCACTGGAATAGTATTTTGCATATTTTTTTCTACTCGTTTTACAGAACCTTAATTAATGACATGTTAATGCAAATGTATATTTTTTTCATCCCATACAATGCCCTTTTTATCACTAATTGTTTTCACCAGTTGTTTTGTATAGGGAAAGAAAAATGAAAAGCATTTATTTGTTTACGTAGTTGTTTGAATTTTGCCTCAACTTATCTATGTTGTATGTTGTTGAACTTCTTTCGCACTGTACTTAGCCAACCGTGCCAATCGGTGTTTCAACTATGAAGAAAGACACATTGAACAACAAACAAATACGCTCATTTCTACTTATACATATTTAGCTTTAAAAAACAAAACCCAATTTTCAGAAAAGGCAAGGGTGCCACGGAGGCAAGATATTAACTACCTTGCCCGGTATACAGGAGGTCGTGGGTTCGATCCCGACCCTGACACCTGTGTTTGTGGAGTTTGCGGTGTCTCTCTCCCCGTGGTCGTGTGGATTTTTCTCCGGGTCCTCTGGTTTTTATCTCCACATTTAGAAACATGCTTTTAGAGTATTTGGCTGCTATACATTTCAATGTGACAAGCCACTTCGCTGAGCAATCATTTGTTGCCAGGTCGCTTCTGAAAAAAAGCTATATAGCTCAGTGGGCCTTACCTGGTAAAATACAAAAAAAACATTGCACAAATGCAATTCACGATATCCTTGTGTTTTACTCTTTCAAATGTCAGAGTACGTTTTAAAGCTTTTCTTAAAACACGTCAATACGCTTCAACTTGAATCATTCCGCCATTTCTTAGTTTTCAGTTTCACGAGTTATCGTCATGCTGAAGCTGCTGTGTCTTGTCCTTGTATTTTTTTTCTCTTTCATACACCAGAGTAAGTTTGAAAGCTCGTCTTAAAACATAAATTCGCTTCGACTTGAATAATTTAGCCATTTCTTCGTTTTTAGTTTCACGAGTTATCATCATGCTGAGCGTCCGCTGCTGTGTCTTATCCAGTGCTTTGGGATCCTCGATGAAAGGCGCCTGATGAATATAATTATATATCAAGCGTTATGTGTTGATGTTGAAGTGAGCCAGTCGAGGGCTACGGGAGCGACGCCGTGAACATTCCGAGACGTCGCCAGCGGGCATTGCCGGACGACGCGTTCCACCGTTTGGCTTCGACGGCCGCGGCCGCTCCTCCATCCTCCGCCGGTGTGACCGGCGGGGCGCCCTGTTGTGCGACGTCCACGCGCGGCTCGAAGCTGACCGTTGCCTTCCTTGGCAGCTCCTGCTCCAGCGGTCTCTGTGCCGGGGTCGGCGGCGAGGCTCTCGGTGGGGACGTTGCCATCGTCCCACATCGTTCTCCACCACCGCTCGACGTCGAGAGCTTGAGGGCACTGACTGGTTGAAGGAAGGTAGTAAAAATGAAAACCAAAATAAACCTCCTTGTGCGCGAGCAGGACGTGTGTCGCACGCTGTGGTGCACCGTGGGATCGACGTGTCACTCCAAGATGGACGCTGCAGTCGAGGGGACCAAGTGTGGCGAGGATAAGGTAGGATGATGCCCATCGCGCTGTGGAGATTACCGCGGCCACCTGTCCTTGTTTATCCTGGATCGTCCTCTTGATGAGGTAGATATCGTGGAAAATCTGCAGAACATTAAAAGTCCCAATTTTTGTCAGTTGTGTACTAACACACTGCTCAAGACAATGCATTCAAATGTAGTGCTCACCTCTTCTAGTATTGTGAGATATTTTTCTTGCCATATTTCACATTTTTTCCCAATCTCAGGGGTGTCAGCCCTTGCGGGGTTGTGCACAGATGTCCTTATTTTGTAATGCAAGTCAAATCCAAAATGGTTTCTTCCAAAAACGAGTAGAGCTCCTTTGTAGGTTTTTTTTGGTTGTGCTGGATAGCTGTCCAGTGGAATTTCAAGTTGTAACCCTTGTTTCAACTTGTTACACAGAGAACAACTTTGGGAGCAAAATATCAGAGACGTCATGCTAAACAACACCCGGTAGAACCTGAAAACACACCGGAGTGCTATGAACAGAGCCCCTCACCCAAACTTGTTCCCGCTGGAAAACCTCCGATAAGACAACCTATATTGACTTCCCACAATGTAGCACGCGTTTTAGCAACCCCGTGGAATGGAGGGCTGAGTCAAACCCCTGGCTGGCACATGAACTCACAAACTCACGTGAGCCACACATTCTAATAACTGCAGCACCCAGTAAGACTCGCTATGCGTCGTAATCTCAGTCCAAGCAATTAACATGACTGACTTCTAGATTTGAAGTTTTCGTGACTGCAAGGATCCATACTCTTTGGTTGCGTAGCGTTTGTGCTTTCACTACGTTGTCCCCACCTGAAGAAGGACGCTTGTGTTGCGCCCGAAACGTCGTGTTTAATTTATTTGTTTTCATTTTTAATTTATTTAATATTTTTAACCTACGTGACTTTACCGAAAAAACCAAAGAGTATGACTGATTTCTTACCAGGTCCCCCTTGCAAAAGACGTTTTTAACCTCGAGGATTTTTTTTTACCTGGTTAAATAAAGCTTAAATAAATAATCCCCCCGCCACTGGTCCTGTTCACATCTGCCGATCAACATATTCGCATGCATCACACTGAATTATACAGGGTGCTTCAAAAAAATGTTAACCCTTGTATGGGACTATCGTTTTGAATAGAAAAATAACGGACAATAATACACTGTGACATAACAAATGTCATGTTAATATCTTCAAAAAATCAAAGAGTCTCCACTTGTTCGCCATCATTGTCAACACATTTTTTTGAAGCACCCTGTACATTATCCAAGTCCTGTTGTTCTACAATGTCTCTTTCTGTGGGTGATCTTCTAATACATGAGGGGATAACTGCTCTGCAAGAGTTCTGGATTAACACTTCGTTTCATGGCGTTGGCCTTGATAGCAACATCTTATGCTGTATTTTTTTCAAAGACTCACATTTAAATTTTGGCAATGAGGGACAATTTTAATTTACAGCAACTCTACTTAGAAGTTAGACTTTGCTTAGAAAGGTCATATGAACAGAGGCTTAGAAGTGGTGGATTAGATGGGTGAAACAAAGCTCACGTCAGTGTCTATTAAGTTTGTATGTCGGCGAAGATGAATACAATTGTTGTGGTTCCACTCTCGTAGGTGCTAAGCTCAAAATCAAATCGTTGCTTTTGGGTACACTTCTGTAGTTCTAATTAACATCTCAGACAACTTGTATTTATCCATAATAATAATTATCCATAATAGAGCTTATTGGGTTAGATCGCGTAAATATTTACTTGAAAACCTGTATTATGGATAACACTGGTCGTGAAATCCTACGTGTTAAACTAACTTGTATTTAGTCTGACAAAACTCGATGAAAAACGTCAGTAATTCCTATTGCTCTGGATTGTTTGGATAATCTATACAAAACCTTCAACGTTCAGAAAAATGTCCCATAATTGTCACCGAGGGCCAACAAAACAACATGTTTTAATGTATTTGTGCGTACATTGCATATCAATAATAAACCATGGGTATAATTTCCAAGGCATGTGTAAATTCAGAGCTTCATTTCAGCAAGAACTGTCTGCAGCCAGATTTATGTCAGGCTAGCTTGGTTGTTGTTGGGAGGCACTGTAAAATATCCCATGAGAAATTAAGCCCTGTGTGCTTTAATGCTCTAAGTACAGCTTTCAAAAAAGGGCCACGACCCCTTTTTGCTTCACATTCATATTTTGTTTACCTTGCCTGGCCTCGACACTGGTGCATATGATTGTGTGCAATCACGTATTGCCATTCATAAGCCTACGTATTAAAATGTATTGCCATGCGTGTGTTCCTGCGTGTGTGTGCGCGCGTGTGCATGCACGTGCGCATTCGTTCGTTCCTGCGTTGGCCCAGTGGTGCTTCCATGGCGAGTGCGTGACCGTGGCTCAACGATCGGGCTCCATAAACGGCGACTGGGGAGCGTGGAGCTCGTGGTCGCACTGCACGCGCACATGTGGCGTGGGCGTGCAGTCAGCTCTCCGCCAGTGCAACAACCCCACGTAAGATAGGCACCGCACACCCATGCCCGCCAAAAGCACTGCTCCACTGATCCTCTACCCAAGCTTTCGTGACTGCAGAAATTATACTCGTTGTTTTTTTCGGTAAAGTCACGTATGTAGAAATAAAATAAAATTTTAATAAATAAAATGAAATTAAAATAAATGGTTTCGAACGCAACACAAGCGCTCATCATCAGGTGGAAATGGGGTGAAACATATAGCGAGGGAACACACATAGCACATAGAGAACGGCAAACTTCACGTAAGCAAATGCAACAATACCCAAGCGCGAGATGAACGTGATTAAAGAGGTGGCTGGGTATTCCTTTCCAGCTCAGACCCCACGTGGTGGCCCATATATAACCTTGTTGTAACGGCTCTCTCGCTGGTTCAGCAGTTCCACTGCTGGATTATATATTGTTTTCCGCCTGAGGACGACCGCTTGTGTTGCAATCGAAACGTCGTGATTTATTTTATTTTATACCTACGTGACTTTACCGAAAGAACCAAAGAGTATGGATTCCTGCAGTCACGAAAGCTTCAAATCAAGATTCAACTTTAAACAGTCGTTCTCAGGGTGTATGCATGAAAAGACAGAAATAGTTTTACATCAACTAAGAAAATAAGAAGTGAGAAAGACGTTTGAAAATAACTAAACAGAGAAGGCAATTTGAAAAATATTTTCAGTCGAGATTTGAAGATTCGTAGTGTATTGGAAGTCCTGACCTGTAAGGGCAACGAGTTATAGAGTTTAGGTGCCGCAATTGAAAAAGCACCTTCACCCCCCAAGTGTGAAGCCGATACCGTGGAAGAGTGAGAAATACACAATCTGAGGCTCTTAATGATCTTGATGGTATATATGGTTGAAGGAGGTCATGAATGTAGGGATGATCAATTGCATTTAAGGCCTTGAATACGGGTACAGACAGTGAGCCAGTAAAGGGACATCACAGGTGTAATGTGATCGTTAAAGGGTATACCAGTTAATACCCTGGCAGCCGAAATTTTGAACATACTGCAGCCTGTTTAGGAGCTTGCTCGAGGTTCCAAAAAGCAGGGCATTGCAGTAGTCAATACGGGAGGAAACAAATGCATGCATCGTCTGTTGAATGGGACTCAAATGATAAAGTTTGATTGGCAACATGTGTACATGTGTATGTCCCTGTCGAGATTGTTCAGCGAGCCAATGGATGGCTTCAGGAGTAGCCGACCGATGAATATCTAAAAAGCGAATGAGTTCAGCTTGCCGTGGTATGCTATGTCATGAGCCGGCACCTTTGAGCCCTCATAGGGCTCTGAGACTGAAAGTTTTGTTGCGAATGATCTATTCAACATTGATATAGAATGATGTAACTTACGGCCAAATATAGCAACATCTTATTTTGTGGAGTAGCTGTGAAGATGTCAGTTCTGGGTTGTACATGAACACACCTGATGGGATAAGCAACCATCCTTTTAAGACTGTGACCCTACTGTCAAGCAGCCAGCAACAAACAGCACTAATGAAGGCACAATAGATACTGCGTATATATATAGGACTACTACTGTGAGCTCGGAAGTAGATCTGTAACATTGTCTTCCACACTATTCTCTGACACGGGGTGATGCAGTGCTGGATGCAGCTTTCCCGCATTGAAATGTCTTCGTCTCCATGAAGCAATGTTGATCAGAGTGCCATCGCCATGTGATTGGGGGAAAGGGCCAAAAAAATTACAAGAAAAAAAAACATCCCAAAAAAATACAAACCAATCAAAAAAGCTAATTATAATTGTATTGTAATTTTAATTACTGAACTATAAATGTGTAAATTGTTTAGTGGTTGTTGATCTCTTAAGGTATGCTCTTTTAATGGTTATTATTTTGTATATTAATAATTTTTGTTTTGTGTATTATTGTGTTTCTCAAAATATATCATTCTGTAGTCCAAGAACAAAGCAGAGAAGTAGTTCTGTCTATTTAAACGAATGATGACAATAATCATCATTTCTCAATTCTCGACCCAGCCATTGCATTTCCTTTTCATGGTGTGCAGGTAAAATATTCACAAAGGCACTTTTCAAAGAATTCTACAGAATCACAATACATGCTCCTTTGAATTTAATGAAACTGTCACGGTAAATATAATCAGATGCATACAGTGAGGGAAAGAAGTATTTGATCCCCTGCTGATTTTGTACGTTTGTCCACTGACAAAGAAATGATCTATCTATAATTTTAATGGTAGGTTTATTTGAACAGTGAGAGACAGAATAGCAACAAAAACATCCAGAAAAACGCATGTCAAAAATGTTATGTTCAAATAAACCTACCATTAAAATTCTATGTCAGTGGGCAAACGTACAAAATCAGCAGGGGATCAAATACTTCTTTCCCTCACTGTACATGCATGAACAACAAAGAATGCAAAGCCAAATTTAACATTATAAATTATAAAAAAAGTGCTACTTTTACTACAGTTTTACTACATTTCAGAAAAAGGTTTATTTGTATTTTGTGCACTCTTAATAATAATTTACAGCCCCTTTTTAATTAACCAGTGAATGACGGCTTCCCTTCACCTCGTCATGCTGGTCATAAGGGGGTTGTTGAAGCATATTTCACCATGCTGGTCAGTGCGATCCTTTCAAGGTGGGAGAAGCTCAAGACCAGTTCGTATATCACTCACTAATGATGTGAGCCATGGTCGGGAATCAAACCCAGGTTGCCGGGTTCATAGCGCAGTGATTGAACGACTATGCCAGCATAGACTTACAAGCAGGAAATATGCCGGTCTAAATTACGTAATTTGTTATGTTTTTCATTCTGCTGTAATTACTCTGGGTGGGGGAGGAAATTTAGGGAGTAGCTGTGAAAATCTGAGTTCTGGATTATAAAGGAACACGCCTGAAGGAACAAACAACCGTCCTTTATAACTTAGTTTTTTTCACCCAAATATATCCTCTTTTATATGTGCAAATGGCTTGAGGTCAGAAATAAGAGACGTAAGTAATAAGAGGTGTGTGTGGGGGGGTAGTCTGTAAAAGATGTATTCTGCACTTATGCTCATGTATTCTCTCAAAAAAGCATTAGCAGCTTCGTTAGAATGAACTTTTGAAAAATGGGTTCGAGTTATTTTTCCTATGCCGTTGAGTTCCTAACTGCCTGCCAAGTACAAACAGCAATGTGGCCATATGTCACGCAGATGTAGCTTGAAAAATCTTGAGTTTTACAAACCCTCCCCACCACGTCACGTGGCTCACTCTCTTGGGTGCCTTATATAATGCAGATTATAATTTCCCCTTCTGTTATTATAGTTGGTCTTCTAATTTAAAAGACATTCTAGTGGTTGGTTAGCACATTGGACTTGCGATCAGAGGTCGCCGTTTGGAACTACGGCACGGAAGTTGAAACAATGGTGCAAGTTTCTTAAATCCCACCTCACCCCTCCCTCTGTCCACCCAGCTGAAAAAAAATGGGTTCACCACAGTTGGATGATCGTTAGCAAGTGTGGGGTGAGGTAAAGTATGTGTAATCCCACCTCCCCCAAGAAGGCATCTGGGCAGAAGGAAGGGGAGGCCTCCACTACAGAGGCCCTTCCACCAGCAGTAGTGTGATCAAGCAGTTGCAGCCCTGCACCTTTACCTTGGCCTCTTACAGATATACAAACACGTGTTTACGTGAAACAGATTTTTTTTTCTACTCCCATTTCCCGGCATTGCATGAATCTGGAATATAAACACAGCAGTCTGTGGCATGCATTATAGTGCCTCGTATATTAAATTGGCTGGAATGGTGGTGGTGGATTGGTGCTGTGAACCTGGTGACAGGATTTTTATTCCTGGCCAATGGCAAACATTACTGACAAATTACATCTGAACAGGTCCTGGTTGCCCTTTCAAAGAACTGCACTGATCACTATAGTGATGTATGGACAAAACTACCAGCATGACCAACGACAAAGAATGGAGGCCTTTATCCAGCAGTAGATTGGCAAAACGGGACAATAAAATAGTATTTCTTATTACGCACATACTATTATCATGGTTGGCTATGTATGGTGTGAAAGGAGTTCAACATACATATCTATGAAATATGTAGGGAACAAAAGCTAAATCACAACTCCTAAAACACCAAAACATAAAATGTCATATCTATCAATGATGAGAAAACGTATCATGTCTTGCAGTGCACATTTTTGCATCCTGTTGAAACTATCTCTTGTTATGCCATTTATTGCAGAGGATTGAACCCCATAGCAGTCCCATGTGTTAGTACCCTTCATTTAACCAAGACATTAAATATTGTCCCATTGAGACTGTGATATATTGCCTCGTTTGCAAGGGGGACCTGAGTTGTTATAGTGATTTATTAAAGAAAAGAAAATGTATACACATTTTAAGATGTGACACATCTAAAGACTAAATGTTACAATAATTTGATACAGATTTTAATAAGTGAGACGGGAAGTCAGCCAAGAATGGAAGACACATGGGAGGAAGCCGGTGTTGGCAAAGCACGTGTTACATACACATGAGAACACGTGATACGGACGGTCGAGTATGGAGGCTGGCGAACATTCGAGTGGGAGGATGTTCACTGGCGAGCACGCACATGGATGATGTTATACAAATTATCAACAAAGGGCCACGTGCTTTATTAATGTGCACCGGCCACCATGGAAATTCTGCCACAATTCTATCATCAGTGACCACGTCACAGTATTCAGCTGCCAGGGTGGATTATGGAACACGTAAGCTCATAAGCCTTGGCAAAAAAAATTAACATTTAAACTGCAGTAAAAATGTTGTGCACAGTGCCTGGCGTGCTAATGACTAAGGTTTTCAGTCTTGAGTTGAATTACTTCATGCAAATTCACCTCAGATGTGATGTGTTTTGTCGCTGACTGGACTGTAGTCGTCCTTGTGTGTAGAGATGGAATCTGATCTGATGAAGCTGCATGAAAGTAGTCCTTGTTGCCAGTCATGGCCTTTAGCCTCTGACTTCCCCACGCGCGTTCCCACCCCCGCGCTCCATTCAACTGTTGTTCAAAAACATTTCACAGCGGTCACTTTTATTTTTTCAAACACCAGTTGCTCTATAAAGTAGGGTTGTACCATCGGATCAGATTGGATTGTATCGGAAAGTGTGCAATCCCCGACCCATCCTGTCTAGCAGTTTGGGAGATTGCCTTTGCCTTACCATTACAACGGATTGCAACTTATTCAAAAGAAAATAGCATCATATTAAGTCAAATCTCTATCTTAAAAAAAACATATACCCGCATTAATTGATTTAATGTGCAGCGCAACAGTTTTAACCTTTTAAAACACATTCAAGTGGCTATAATTCGTACATAGAATAGTAGTTAATCACGTAAAATGTAAAAAACACGTTTGAATAGAAATATCATTAAATTGTGAATGAGTAAACTAACTTGTGAACAACCTCAGAACCGCACAGTTATGTAATTGCAGTCGGTGGAGTTTCAGGACAGGTGGAGAATATACATCATGTGCTGAATTTTATGCTGAAATAAACCATGGCAATTATCATTGACCCCTCTTTGGACGTGTATATGGAGCAAATAACTTTTTTTGAATGACATTAGAAACAAACTATTCTGCAAAAAAAAATCACCCGCCACTGTTGATCTGACAATATTTCTTCTTACAACATTGAGAAATATTGTATTTCACTCGGCAAAGATGAAAAGTTCTTTGATTTTTTTTTCATCGGTTGGGTCCATGTGTGTGAAAATAAAGTCCTTCTTTGATCAACTCCTTTGAAAATCACCAGAGGTTAACGTGCTTCTAAAATTCTAATTTCCAGTTATATTTTATTCTGAAGCATCAATAGTGACGCCGGGAGCCATACAAACTCTCAATCCTGCCAACGATGTCATACCCTCCAGGGCAATTCCACGTCCACTGTGAAGCAGATGCCGCATATTTTACAATCATTACACCGCAGTAGCCAGGGCGGCCTGTTGGATTTGACCCGCAAACGTCTGCAACTTATGCGGAATGTGTTACCCACCATTCTGAAATGATGTCCAAACCACCTCGGTCTTCTTGTCTCCAGCCAGTGCCTAACGCTGAGTTCACAGTCAACATATTTTCTCTATAATTAAATTTAAGTACTCTCATAGTGAATACATTTGTTCATTCAATTGGTTTCCCAGTAATGTTTCATGTACAGAGTGGCAGCGCTAAGCAAAAGCAAACCAAACAAAAGCTTACGAGAAAACTTAAAATAAAACTCGTTTTTATGAAAGCCTTTTTTTTTATTCACGAAGCGCTGAACAATTATGCAACAGTATTGTGGCCACACGAGTGGTCGTCCTGGCCGTACAGAAAAGAGAGAGACGTGTAAAAGCTTTAACAATCACAGTGGATTATGACGAGGGAGAACCAAAAGCAACAGAAAAAACATCGATTTTGAAGCGTCCCTTTAAATTATGAACAGAGGCTGAGTCACGGATGTGAATCGTGAGTGCATTCCATAGGCGGGGAGCCACGATGCAGAATGATTTGTTACCCTTAGATGGAAGACGTCTCCTCGCGATGCAGAAAATAAAACGTTCTGAGGAGCATAGGTGTCAATATGGTGCACGTTGATTCAATAGGTCACGACTATACTGTAGGTCGATGCGAGCCCTCTAAATGCTTTAAAGGTTAATAGTAGCATCTATGCCTTACTAAAAGCCAGTGGAAGGAGACCAGCACTGGGGATGTGTGTTTGGAAGGAGCAGTTTCGATAAGAGGTTGCATCATGCATCACCTAATTTTTCAAATCATAATAACAAGATCGTTCATGTTTAAAAAAAACCTAATTCATCTCTACACACATCTCTTCTCTTATTACGCTACATCTCAATTTCTGCCTGCATTTTTCTTACCTCGCTACATCTATATCTCTTGTCGAAATGTCTCCTGTCATCTCAATGGAGCCCAAATATTACTTCGATTTCAGCACCACCGGAGCAAGTCCATTGCCCTCGCTTTTTTGCCAACCGTCGCGTCGGCTCTCCGTCTGCCCTCAGGCCTCGCTTCGGCGGACGGTACTGCGTCGGCGAGCGCAAGCGCTACCGGACGTGCAACGTGCAGCCCTGCTCCGCAGACGCCATCTCATTCCGGCAGATGCAGTGCAGCGAATTCAACACGGTGCCCTACCGCAGCGGGCTGCACGAGTGGGCGCCACTGTTTGGCACAGGTGAGCAACGGGTTCGCCAATGTTGCTCTGCACGGGCAGCACAAATTAGCCGTGCCTTCCCTTCTGCGGTTACGTCAAGATGTTGCTCGTGATGGAACGGTGTAATGCTGTAAAACTGGGTAAGAACACAGAAGATAGATTTATGTATTGTATTTCGCCGAGTTAAAGATTCATGGCATGCACCGATCATAAATCATTCAGTTTACACTGATAATATCTGGATTTTTTGGAAAAACTGCAATCTTACAAAATAATAGATTTTTTCCTAAATGTGAAGCAAACTTATCTCCCAAATGTAATGATTTTTACTTTAAATGTTAAATGTAATTTTCAGAATGCCTTAAAAAGTGTAATCCCCTTCCTGTCATGTGTACATTATATTTATTAATTAATTAATCAATATTTTAATTTCAGTGACCACTTTTATTTTACAAATATTAAAAGAAAAAGTCAAACGGTTTCAAACTCCATTGTTGAAAGGCATGTATATACTTCATCTAATCTACACACATAATCCACAAACATTGGGTCCGTTGAGTTCGGTTAACTGTGAAGGACTAAATTTCGATTTAAAGCTTTCGTGACTGCAGGGATTCATCTTCTTGGTTCTTTCGGTGGTTAGAGTAACTGCAGCTACATATCATTAACATTCCTTTCCTTTGTTACTGCTAATCCCTGCACCCCCCCTTGGTGCTGTTGATCCTGCACAATGCATGGGCATAATATGACTTTGAAACCCCCCGCCCACCTCCTACGCATTTCCATGAATATGCTAAATTCCTCTTCATATGCACATTCTTTTGTTAAGGCGCTCTTTCTTCCACCTCCAACGCAGCTTATATATAAGCTCCTAGCTTGGTATTGTCTCATTCTTCACCTGAAGACGGCTGCTTGCGTTGTAGCCGAAACGTCGTGAGAATTATTTTATTTTATTATGTTTTATTTTTATTATTTTATTACTTCCCTTCTACGTGACTTTACCGAAAGAACCAAGAAGATGTGAAGGACTAACTTGATGTTAAGTTTTTCAAATTATAGACCCATTTTGTTCCACATAATATTTTTATAACGAAACTATTTTTTTTCCCAGGTAAGGCCTACTGAACTATGTAGCTCTTTGTCAGAAGTGACCTGGCCACAAGTGATTGCCCAATGAAATGCCTTAGCATGTGGAAATGTATTGCAGCCAAATACTCTAAACGCATGTTTCTAAATGTGGAAGGAAAACCAGGGGACCTTCAGAAAAATCCACGTGACCACGGGGAGAACATGCAAACTCCAAATATACAGGCATCAGGGTCAAGATCGAACCCACAATCTCCTGTATAGCAGGCCAGGTAGTTAATATCTCGCCACCGTGGTGCCCCATGCCATATAGGAGGTATTATCTCCAGTTAAATTGCTGACATAAGATGGCATTGAGTACACTGCCTTTCGACCAATCCACTTCTGGATGAAGGTTTTACCACGCTGTCAGTTGTGGGTAGTTCTTCTTGGTTCTTTCGGTAAAGTCGAGGGTGCCACTTTCGCCAATTTCAGACGCTGTCTTATCGACAGACCTGTTCTTCACCTGAGGACGGCTGCTTGCGTTGTGGCCGAAACGTCGTGAGAATTATTTTATTATGTTTTGTTTCATTTTTATTATTTTATTATTTCCATTCTACGTGACTTTACCGAAAGAACCAAGCAGATGAATCCCTGCAGTCACGAAAGCTTTAAATCGAAATTGTGGGTAGTTGTTTGACCGTACTCCACCATGCTGGGTAGTGTGGACTGGTGGATGTGGGTGGGGGGCAACTAATGACCAGTTCATCTACCACTCTCCACTGATGTTAGCCGTGAGAGAAAATGAAACCCGAGGCCGCCAAGTTTCATAGTGCTGCGCATGAGCCAACGCACCACCCTTAAACCCAAGAGGGAATCACTTTCACCACAGAGCGATGCTATTTGTGTCCCTTGAAACCAGCGCTTGCGTGCTTTACTTTGTTTCTTTTTTTATCACCAGGGGACACTTGTTTCGGTGAAATGCCCTAATGCATGGCATGAGGGCAAACTGTGCAACGTGAGAGTGCCACTTTCACCAATTTTAACAACAAATTGTGATACTGCATTAGCAGTAGTGCACAAACAAGGAATAACAAAAACAGAACACGGAGAGATAATCTCTGTTATAAAAAAGGGCCATTGTCCAAAACATTGGTATTTTTTAAATATATATACTGTTATATACATCAGCGGTGGCCAACTGATGTCTCCCGAGCCGCATGCGACTCTTTCATCCACCACATGCGGCTATCTATCGAAGTGGCATAACGTAGAACATACTATCACAGTAGCAAATAATAATAATACATTAACGTTATATAAGTTGTATGATATAATAGTATATATATACACTTGGCTCTTTGCATAACTCAAGGGTACATTTTGGCACTTGGTCTGTTACAGGTTGGCCTGTTAGTGATGTCTGTGTTGAGTTCTGTCACTCACCAAAGTTGGGCTCACGATCTCTCCTCCATCTCTGCATGTGCCAGCAAACTCGTGTGAGCTGCACTGTCGACCTATGGTGGGCTATTTTTCTGAGAAGATGCTGGATGCCGTGATTGATGGAACCCCCTGCTATGAAGGCAATGCGAGCCGTGACGTTTGCATCGATGGCATCTGCAAGGTGCCGGCTGCTGGCAGGATTCCTGCAATTTTATTTAATGCCACACGTAGGCACAATAGTTATTCCTAATCAACGGACCATGTATTTTTAACTCTCAGTAATGCTGAAAAAAGAACTTTGGAAATGCCACTTTTAGTTTGCAAGGAGATTGCGATTTTCTATTTGGAATTGAACTATCTTTGTGCCACTATGAACTTTATTGTACTTTTCTCATCTTATTGTAATTTATATAGTGTCTTTGCCAAATAGCTTGACAGATAATTACCAATTCGAATTCAAAACCTTGAAGACGTCAAATTCATGAACAAAATTACCTTACAACACAGTTCACAATGATACATTTGTCACTGTGTTAAAAGTATTAACATGTTTTACTTTTTTGCAGTGAATGCTCACAAAATAGATTGTTTTAAACTCAACATAAAATTATTTATTACTTATATATAGAATGTTGTCTTGCTAATTGCATATTGCTATTTGAGATACGCTTCTGACAGCCACTCGAGCTACACACTTTTAAATTTAGATTGAAAACGAATTTCTTTAAAACTGCTTTCCGTGTTGAGTTTGTAGCATGGTTGGCTACGTACGCTGCTAAAAAAGAGTTCAACATACATGGCCTACTCAGAAATAGGCTGTTTTGGCCTAGGAATGACACAGGAACAGCCCCCGAACCTCTAATTAGCACGGTTTGCTACGTACGGTGGGAAAGAAATTAAACATACATGCACACATAGACTGACACAGATACCAGTAGGCTCACACAGAGACCCACAGTTTGTTGTCTTTCCCCCACACCTCCGATTAGAACAGTTGGTGCAAAATAATTTCAACATACATTATGATTATACCTAAACCGCCACCCCCACCCCCGCCTCACATTTCCACAATGTGGGGATGAATCCTGAATGAGTTCTGTGGCTAAAGCGGACGTCTGTTACAATTTCCCGTTGCCAGAACGTAGGATGTGACTACGAGATCGACTCCAACGCCATGGAGGACCGCTGTGGAGTCTGCCAGGGTAACGGTTCCTCCTGTGAGACTGTCAAGATGACCTATGAAGAGACGGAGGGGCTCGGTAAGGGAGTGGCCACCAACGCACAGATTTTAATTTCCACCTGGCTGTGAGCTGCTAACACGTGTCAATGTGTATTCGTGTGTGCGCCATCTCAACATTGTAAAAATAACATTGGTGCGAAAACCAAAAGATAGTTCCACAGCCTGGCAATAATTATATATCCTGCTTGCCGCATCACGTTATAGTTGTTGTTAATAATAATGCAAGCGACATGTACTCAGAAGTATGCCGTGTTGATCAGCCAATGTGTGCTTTTATAATTTCATTGTTATTTGTGACGATACATTATTTTTCTTCTTCTTGGTTCTTTCGGTAAAGTCATGTAGAAGGGAAATAATAATGTTTCATTTTTATAATTTTATATTATTATTATTTTATTATTTCCCTTCTACGTGACTTTACCGAAAGAACCAAGAAGATGAATCCCTGCAGTCACGAAAGCGTTAAGTCGAAAGATACATTATTGATAATAATAACAGTCACAGTATAACGTATATTACACCTCACAACATAACAGAAACTCCCAACTTGCTGTACCTGTCATGATGGCTGTACCTGTCATGATGGCTGTACCATTCCTGTGGATATTGAGCACACAGCCTTGCGAAGGCTGCCAGCTCTAAAGTGGAGCTCGTGTGTGGACTTTTCATTTCTGGCAGCAATTGGACAACTCAACACCCGAATGCTGGTTTCGTTATTATTATGATTCATCAGTACATTGTCTACATCTACCATTTAGGTCTTAAGCAGTGAATCTCCCCCACTACAGTCAGCCAGTCAGGTGCTTTTAAACATATTGGCTATCGTCCCATCTGATCACTACCAGTTCATACAACCCTCTCCATATATTTTTTTGCAGATGGCACCCACTGCATATGTGATCTCGACACCATCATCTACGTGTGACCTAGATACTGTGTACAAATCTGGACACCATCTCAATATTGGATGTTAAACAAAGAGTTGGCTTTAGGTAGCACACGTTGCTAGAGGGCATGGTGGCTGGTGGCAGCTAAAAGAGGGCGATCGAAACTCGTGGTTTGTTTTTATTTTTCATTTGTATTTTATTATTATTACTGAAAGAACCAAGAATAAGTCTACATTATAGCCTGTCAGTACACTCACCCAGCTTAATAACCATTGCTACAGTCTACATTATAGACTGCCAGTACACTCACCAAACTTAATAACCAGGCGACAGTCTAAATTATAGACCGCCAGTACACTCACTCCGATTAAGAACCAGGCTACATTCTACATAAGTGGTTTGATTTTATTTTTTATTATATGTATTTTATTTTATTCACTTTATTTTCTATTTTAAATTTTCTATCCACGTGACTTTACTGAAAGAACCAAACAATAAGCCTGATCACTGCAATGAATAAAGCACATCATAAAGATGATGAATAAATATATTACTTTGTAAGTAAACTATGTTCAAGTGTTACCAAGGCCCCGGTGCATATTTTACACATCTGGTGGCGACCATTCGTGCTGGCAGGCTACGTGGACGTGGGCCTCATCCCCGAGGGGGCCCGGGACATCCGAGTGGAGGAGGTAGCGGAGGCCAGCAACTTCCTGGCATTGCGGAGCGAGGATCCCGCGCGCTACTTCCTCAACGGGGACTGGGTCATCCAGTGGAATGGAGACTACAAGGCAGCGGGCACCACCTTCACGTACGCACGCAGCGGCAACCTCGAAAACCTCACCGCGCCGGGCCCCACCATGGAGCCCGTCTGGATACAGGTGGGGGCTTCTCTGCCACTCTCGAGGTATCCGCGTCGTTACACACGCCACACGCGTGCAGGTGTGGGTCTTTTGATACAACTCCAAAACGCTGGTCAGTGCGGGTTTGTAAAAGAGGGGTCCCATGACCGATTCATATCTCGCTGGTCATTGGCGTTAAATGTGAAAAGAATCAAACTCAGGTCACCAAGTTCCGAGAAAGCCTGGATTCATTGTTCATAATTGCGGTGATGGTGCTGCTTTGGCTGCTGCTGGTGGTGGTATTGGCAGCTCTTTCTCGATATGTATTCAGACTTGTCACTTTGCAATTGTTGCCAATGTGTGCCTGGAATAGCTGCTTTTCCAGGAGAAGAATCCAGGCATTCGCTACGAGTACACCATCAGGAAAGACACCGACTCCGACAACGAGATTGATCCTCCTGAGCTCTTCTGGCACTACATGCCGTGGTCTAAGTGCACAGTGACGTGTGGAGCAGGTGAGACGTGGATTTCTACTTTCAGTTGTGTTTGTTGCTCAAAGCAAGCTCAGGGAAGCAGAGTGCATCCCATTAGTGGCTCGATGTTTATGTCGATTTTAATCACCGAGCAAAATGTATGACAGGTCATTGCCTGAGGGTGGCGTGGGGGGTGAGGTGATATCCTCAATTTTCAGCTCAAAACGAGATTGACCATGTCGTAATGTAATTCTGACTCTAATGCTCTTCAGTGGGTGGACAATAATAAGGCACTGGGTCTATTAGAGGGGAAATTAAGCCGGATTGCTCATTTCCATGATAATGCTGAAAACACCACGTGCACTTTTGGCTGTTATTCATTTGTGCCATTAATTATAAATGTGTTGTATTCAGTGAGGAACGTGGCGACCAAATAAATACCCTCAATCCCTTCCTCCCTTTCCAGAGATGCCATGAATTGCTGTGACTCATGGCCTCAATGACTATCGAAGAATATATATTATTGGTTCTTTCGATAAAGTCTTGCTGTGGTTTTCACACCTGATGATGATTGCTTGTGTTGCAATCGAAACGTCGTGATAATTTTTTTGTTTTATATTTATATTATTTTATTGTTTCCCTTCTACGTGACTTTACCGAAAGAACCAAGAATATGAATCCCTGCAGTCACGAAAGCTTTAAATCAAAATATTGAAGAATATATTTGTTTGGCTTACCACTATGGGACTTGCGTTATCTCTTATTTCGTAGTAGTAGTACTGGGAGTAGTAGTAGTACAAGTAGTGTGTCAATTCACTGCTTTACCACATTTGTTAAGTCCAGGTTGGTGTTGTTCCAAAACTAAAACTCGGGTTGCCCAGTTTATATAGCAATGCGCTCTTCACTGCGCCACCACTCCACCATCGTGCCAAAATAAACTAAGGAAGACAGGTTTAAAATGCACACTTTGCACTGAACATTTGACACGGCTATCTTGGCAAGGCAGATGCCAAATCAAGAGCAGACTTTCATTCACCTAGGCCAACTTGGCAAAATATCCTTATTATTAAATAAAAATATAAAGAGCGAATATATTTGGAGCTCTAAAATACCAACTGCTTCATTTTAAGTTTCATAAGATGTAAAATCATTCACCCCCGTCTGTTTTTTTTTAGAATCCTGTTTCTGAACCCAATAGCTGAAACACATTCCTGAATCGATAAAGCCCTGTCAAGTCTGCTGAGTAACAATTAATTTAAGAGCGTTCTCCCACTTTTGTGGCTGTGCAAAAGCACGTTTGAATACAAATAACAGTTCAGACAAGAGGCCGCTGGGTTTGAACCATCACCTCTTGAGTTGTGTATAAAGCGACAAGGCGAGCACTATTTTATGAACATGCATATGCACAAAAACGTTTAATTACTGCACTCTTAAGTACCGTTAACTTTTGACCTATGTTATTTTAAAGTTTAATGGAGCATTTACATTTCTGGAAGCAAGCCAAAAGCTCCGATTTTTGCACATTAATCTTACAACGTTTGCCAATTGATTCCATGTGAAAAGCATTAAAATGACAGAGGCAAATATGTAAAACCAATGGAAAATGTATCTAAATTACACATGAACTTTTATGTTAAAAAACATAATCCAACTGTAATAATTGTATGAAAGAATGTGTTAATTATTATGAGCCACAGTTAGCTATTCAGATTCATATTTAAACTCGTAAGCTCGAGTATATACACAAGTTAACGGATATATGAGTTATACCGCTTAATTTCAAAGTTAATGTTGTTTTTCCCATGCAATTAGTTTTGTTTTTTCCACATGAATGTATGTACCAGAGGTGGTCTAACTTCTCGATACTATAATCCACATACAAACAACATCTTCATATGGCCAAGAGCTGCAAGACAGAAGACTTTGCACATGGCTGTGGGGTTTTGAATTGAGAAATCTGAGTACGCCCCAGGCGTTCTCACTTCTAGCTACACTGCCAGGGGGCTAGTGTCCCGGGCTGCTTTAGAAATCTGCGGGAGCACTCTAGGAGTGGCTCATGGATAGCTTCACTGCCAGGGATGAGTGTCCCCCGACCAGCGCTACTGCCGCAGGATTTTTTTCCTGTTTGAAATAAAGATGTATTGAAGTTAGAATTACCAGCGTTTCTCTCTCAAACTCACCGAGGGCCACATGCAGACTCACGAGTCGTGGTTTTGACCACCCCCAGTTGATTACTCTCAGGCTTAGAATGCAGACACGGCAGTTGCCACAAGGGCAATATTTTATCCAAGCATACCTTGCACAGCCATAGGCAGGTGACAAAGGCACAGGTGTACAAACTAAATTACCAGTGTAGCTGCTGGACATGAGTGGAATGTACTGAAACCCACCATACGGGTCTGGTTCACTCCACACGAATCCATACTTCAAAGACCCCCCCACTACCTCCAAACCTCCACTCCACTCCTCCCACTCTTGAAATTGCCTCAAGCACTCAAAGAGCCTTTTGCCCCACTCTTAATTAAACTCTAGATGCCTTGGCTAGACAAGGTGAGGCAAGGTACATTCCTAAACCTCATGTAATAACAAAGCACCATAAGACAAATCCTAAGAAAGAAAATTTACCAAATGTCAACACATAACTTTTAAAATATAACCCTCTACTTGCCGGATGTTTTAATCTGTGCACAAAGCTATAAATAATATTATCTCCAAAAATCTGACACGTTCCTGAGCGTGATGATACATTTGTATTGAAGGGATAGAGCAGCGGCCCATTCGTTACCACACTGCACTACGAACATCGGATACTTGAGTTCGATTCTTGCCCACATTTAGCAATGATGGCTAGTGAACTGGTCCTGGGCCAATATTTTAATCAACATGCACTGGCCAGCCTGGTTAAGTATAGTCAAACAATGCCCATTATTAACACGGCATGGGCAGAGCTTAACCCAGAATGTGATTGACAAAGGGCTGCAAATAAGTTATTATTGTTTTTACATACCACAATCATAACAGAATGATGCACTTATGCATACCACAATCATGAACTTATGCAAACAATAAAATATAGAAAATGATTACACTTGACTTTGGAAATAATAACAAGAATCCAATTTTTTATACTAGGTTTACAAAACTGTCCTGCATCCGATTTGACTCGATGGTTTTAATGTATAAATGACCTCAACTTCGCAGTGAATTTGCAAGCATGATTTTGTACTTGTGTTTTTGCAAGAGTTTGTCGTCACTGGCAAGCCCTTGAGTTGTATCTGAAAATAATTAATGGGCTTTACTGGACATGCGGATGGAATGTAGAAGCTTGCAGATAAACCCACGAAATAAAAAAAAGTTAAATCTATTCCAGATGGCGGTTTAACCAGACAGCTTGAAGTCTTTCAATTCGCCTGGAAAGGATTCAGCAGGAACTTGTAACGATAAGATTTTCCGTAAACTATCTTGCGGTTTGTTCTCCTATTTATTAGAAATCTCCATATACAGTATATCAAAGGCAAAGTTGTGAATGTGTGTCTGTTCAAAATGTTTAGCGTACTTCCCGACATGCAACAAACTGCACATTTGCCATGTGGGTACTTTCCAGACTGTACACCGTGCACAAATTATAAAAATACACTTTAGTTTTTGATTTTTTGGGGGGGGAGGCTCAATAATGCATTTATTTTTTGCACGTCAAGTGAGCTGTGACGTCAAATCTGTCACGTGACCCACGCATGTGGAAGCGTCACGCATTGTAGTGTAGCGGTTAGCGCGCTGCGCTACGAACCCGGCGACCCGAGTTCGATTCCCGCTCACGGCCACCACAGGTGACAATTATTTGAACCGGTCCTGGGCCTCCCCTAGGTCGACTCAGCCTCAAACGAGTAAATGGTGTGGTGGGGAGACAAAGGCGGCCGGGCGTGGTGAATCCATGTCCCGGGCGAAGCCGGGTAGTGAAGCTAGTATATTATATGGGTCATATTTTCAATTACATGACAATGCTAGAGATACTAATGGTGTAACCATCGATTCTTAAACTTGTATCAGTTCTTTAGATTCCAACTTGAATATATATAATGGATTCACATGACCCCTGCATCCACTAAAGGCAACTACATTCAATACAATGTAAACACAATAATCTGGAATGGAAATGTGACCCTAAAAGTCACAAGAATCATTACACCCCTAAGAGGTACAATTTGTCTTCAATATTCACAATCAGTCCTGGACTGTACATGAATAAGAACAAATTCATACAAAACCTTTACACAAATACTTGAAATCCTGGGGTGGAGTGGTGATGCAATGGTTAGCACACTGCACTATAAACTCAGCCCAGAGACCTGAGTTGGATTTCAGACCACAATATCTGTGCAGAGGGATATCTGTACCAGTCGTCATATCTCCCTCTTCACCAACCAGTAGTGACCAATAATGGTGAAGTATGGTCAAACAACGCCGACATCATCGCGAGGCCTTAATCCAGCAATATTGATCAAGGGCAGACTAAAATAATGATTGTTATTGACTTAAGCTCTTGCTGCTATACAGTGCCAACTGAGAATGTGTTGACATGGAGGCATTTATTTTGAATTGTATTCATATCAGTAAGCAACAGTTAGTTGTTCAATAATGATATGGAAATGTGGTAATGCCCTTTGGATAGCTTGCATGGTTTTGAACAGAGATCAGTGTCCTGTAAATATTTATTTTGTCATAAAGGGCACTCTCTATTGTGTAAATATAGCAAAAAAATAAAAAGCTCCATCTCTCCCCAGGCCAGATCTCTATTGCATGTGTGAAGTGTGTCAAAGAAAGAAAATGAAGACAGTGTCTATCAAACTCCTCTAAATCCAGCAGGCAATTCCACCACAAAGCTTGCCTCTCAACATTGTAATTATATTACCATGTTTTCTGACAGCACTGTACGTTTTTTGCAATTAAATTAATTTCACTAACCTTTACTACAAAGATTGGACAGCTTCTGGAAAATTTTCGATTTGTAGAAATAACTTTATAACTATTTTTTTTACTATTTTGGTTTATTTTAATTGGGGAAACTAAAGTGTAATTTTATGCAATGTGTATGAAATCCATAAAAATGGTCGCCTTTGTCTCCCCACCCCACCATGTGGTGCCACGTTGCATTTTTTTTTTCTAAACCGTGTACAAGATAGCATGGTGCTTGACAGTTTGATGAATAGTTTCATACAAGACTATAGCATCACTTTTTTAGGGGTACTTGGGTCCTTTTAGCGCAAGATATGTTACAAAGAAACCATAGACGGGTGATGAGTGGATGGTGATGGATAAGATGGGTGGCAGATGGTGATGGAGATCACGCGTGGTGAATGTGATGGAGATGACGAGTAGTGATTGAAAAAGATGGTGGTGGGGATAATAAGTATATTTGTCATTCACTACATTCTTATAACACAAAAATATCATGAAGGTACAAGCTAGGTGTATACCTCGTAAGCTTTACAGAACATTTATGTCTTGAGTCTAATGCAGAACTGGCTGACAGTGACAAATCGCGGACAGTGACCTGCACTAACTTACATGTAGATGAATGTTATGGATGATGATGATGACACTGAATGTGACTGATATGATTACATCATTGAAGACAGCATAACCGCTACATGTCGTTCGTTGACCAGGCCAGTGTGCGCGTGCGTGTGTGTCCCACCAGGTGTGCAGCGGCAGACAGTGAGCTGCCTAGAGAGGACGGCTGGCATCGTGGAGGAGAAATTCTGCAATTCCACAACACGACCGGACGATCGCCAACGTGCGTGCAACGAGCAGGAGTGCCCCTCCCGGTGAGCATTCCTTCGTGCACGCCCCCTACCACCCCTCCTGTATGGCAAGCGGCTATTTATATAGCTAGCTAGCTTTTTTATGACTTACAGTTGCTAAGCACAGGCCCAAAGGCCCAGCATGCCAAAGTGGGCAGCAACAAACAACACTCCTGATCGTGTTGAAGGTGTAATAGATGGCTGAGTAGTGTGCGCAGCTCGCAATCAGAAGGTGGCCAGTTCAAATCCTTGTTGAAAATAAGTTCCACTTTGTGTGGCGTAGTCAGCAGTTGTCCGTTGGATGGACTTGCCCCCGCCATAAGAATGAGAACATTTCAACCTTTGACTGGATAGAGCAGTTGAGCACCGCCTCAATGCTTGTACACATATATAATAGCCCAGATCTGTCCTTCTGTGACTGTGATTAACACCCCCGGATTGGTTGACGTGCATCACGTGACCGCGAGCTGGCCACTTGCTGTTGTGGTGCGCCCTACATATCGGAGGCCTGAGAAGCAGCAACATGACGGCCACAGCGCCGGAGACGCAGCCATGGAAAGCTGACGGTCGATCCACTCGCACATGGCTCACTCATACACCACACAGCTCACTCATACACACAGCTCACTCACACTCACTCACAAACTATCGCATGCACCTCAGAGGACACGGGTGAGTCAGAGTGAGGCAGAGCCGTGCTCCGTCCACTGCTGCCCTGAGGGACCCCCGTGCTCGCCACTGCTGGCTTGAGAGAGAGCCACGCTCTCTGCACTGCTGCCCTGAGGCAGAGCCGTGCTCGCTCTGCTGCTGCCCTGAGGGAGAGCCGTGCTCCGTCCACTGTTGCCCTGAGGGAGAGCCGTGCTCTGTCCACGTCTGCCCTGAGGGACCCGCGTGCTCTCCACTGCTGCCCTGAGAGAGAGCCGTGTTCTGTCCACTGCTGCCCTGAGGGAGAGCCGTGCTCTGTCCATTACATTAGTACTCGAGGTTTTTTGGTGCTTAAATCCACTTCTGGATGAAGGCCCACCGCACGCTGTGCGAGTGGATCGTAAGGATTTACTTGACCAGTCTGTTGGGGTCCGCCGTATGCTGTGGTTGTTGGGGGGTGCCGCAGGCTGTGGTTGTTGGGGGGTGCCGCAGGCTGTGGTTGGGGGGTGCCGCAGGCTGTGGTTGTTGGGGGGTGCCGTATGCTGTGGTTGTTCGGGGGTGCCGCAGGCTGTGGTTGTTGGGGGGTGCCGCAGGTTGTGGTTGTTGGGGGGTGCCGCAGGTTGTGGTTGTTGGGGGGTGCCGCAGGCTGTGGTTGTTGGGGGGTGCCGCAGGTTGTGGTTGTTGGGGGGTGCCGCAGGCTGTGGTTGTTGGGGGGTGCCGCAGGCTGTGGTTGTTGGGGGGTGCCGCAGGCTGTGGTTGTTGGGGGGTGCCGCAGGTTGTGGTTGTTGGGGGGTGCCGCAGGCTGTGGTTGTTGGGGGGTGCCGCAGGCTGTGGTTGTTGGGGGGTGCCGCAGGCTGTGGTTGTTCGGGGGTGCCGCAGGCTGTGGTTGTTGGGGGGTGTCGCAGGCTGTGGTTGTTCGGGGACGCTGCAGACTGTGCTTGTGCGGTGGCGCCATAGGCGCCCCCCAACAACCTAATTCATAATATGCAGGTAATCAATAACACATGGGCTTTTTTAATACATGAGAACTATGTTGCAATAGTGAAATATAATTAGTATTGATTTTAAAACATCATTCGTAGGGGTTGCTGGTGGAAAATTACTTTTCCGGTGGGAATATGTTCTGGAAAAAAAAAAGGGTCTAGCAAACTTATTTTGAAATATAAAATACAACTAGGCGCGTAAACATGCATCAATTCATCGAATAAAACACAATCTTTCACATAAACTTTTATTTTTTACTTTGCCTCATTCGCACAAACTCCATCGCAACAACGCTGCACAATCTGCAAAGCACGAATGGGCATATTGATTTAAGATATATTTAGGAAATTACTGAGTGTTTTTACCTGTGGGATAATACTGGAGCACCTGGAGAAAACTCACGCAGAAAAGGCAACACGATATCCCATACAGATGGGACAGATGATTTCAGTCTGCTCATCGCCGTACCGCCTTCTGCTGGCGAGCGACGGTATGGCATCTCTATGGCAACAGGACGGAAGTTGCCGTACATTTGTGTGGTTCCCTCAACCCTTGCCACCACAGCGCTGCATATTGTTGCATGCCTATGTAATTATTATCATTTACAGTGTACAACGGTCTATATATGTACGACACAAAATAGACATTCGTACAAAAGCAATGTTTTCGCATTTGAATTGTCTGCATATTTGCATAGAATATATTATGTTATACCCAGTGGCTGGCAATCAGTGCAAGCTAGTGAGTGATGGGTTTGGATTAAATATAATGAAGTGGCTGAATGGCTCAAGAGGTCAGACCACTGAGCCAGTACCGCTGAGATCCTGAGTTTAAATCCAGGCAGCTACCTGTGATTAAACCGGGTTTCAAGTGCAGTAAGTTGACGGTGTCAGCCTGATCACCAATAACTACATCAACAACAAAATTCAACACATCACAGTTTTTGTGAGTGTTTAATTTGGCTAAATTCAGCTGTGAGAATTCATATCGATTTGACCGTTATGTGAAGAACATTTATCTCATCTTATCTGAACGTAATTTATATAGTATCTTAACCAAGGCGCTTTACATAGAATTAAGAATGGTACAAAATGAATGTAATGGTGGAGATGAGGTGAATACAATATATGAGAGGAAGTAATGGACAAATCTGTGATACGTGAATTAGGTAAAAGCAAAATTGATGAGAGCAAAGATGATGAATCAATTTAATGGATGGAGAATGAGTGGTGGCCATGTAGAGAGGTGATGAAGAGGGAGCCGGAACGATAGTGGTTATTAAGGGGAGATTAAGGGGTCGTGGGGTGAGCTAAAGAAAAAAAGTGAGTTTTGTGGGAGGAGCAGAAACTCCTGAGCGATTATGACTGTTTGAACGTGCAGCGCCTAGTGGGAATGTGCTGCCTTTTATATTGTGGGCCAGAGGTCACTTGAAGGAATCTCACAGGTAGCTCTGTGATTCCTGCATCTGTGTCCCATTCTCTCACGAAGAATCGCATTGCTCTGAAAAATATCTGAATAAAATCTTTGTCTCATTACATGATACCAACAGCACAATTGGTATACAACTAGGGGGAAATGACAAAAATCGTAAAGTAAAAATATTGCACGTAATCTTCCAAAGGGATTATTTTAAGATTGCTTCCTGCTGTAATAAATTTCACCACAGCTGCATTCTTGGCTGATTTCAATACTGACTTGCGAGTGAAAACAGGTGCAATTACCCCAATGATGAATTGCTAGATCTGTTAAGTATAAATTCCGTTAGGAAATTACAACATGGGTTTGCACATTAATGACAGATCAGGCGCTGTATTCATACAACAATACCAGAATATTAACTTCAGCACTGTGGTGACAGATGGTAAAGGTTTGTTGATTCAAAAATGTATGCAATTTCTGCTCAGCAATGCTGAACTGAGAGACCTCATCAGTGTACACCATCTGTTGGAATGTAGGTGTTAATAGATTGTGTGAAACTTACATTGAATAATAATACTATGGTAAGAAGACCCCATGCCAAATTTTTTGGGGGGGGGGGTATCCTTTGGAAAAAGTGAACTTAATGGAATGCAACCTACGAATGTGTCTCAAGAAGAAGAAAGATATGAATCAGTGCGTGCTGCCTGCTATAACGTGGCTAAGAAAAATGTATGTTGACGAAGAAAATGTAAAAAAAAAGCTGAGAGAATGTGCAACAAAATTCTGAAAGGTGCATGATTGGAATTCTACTGAGAGATGAAAAGAGCAACACATGCACAAGTTAGAAATACAGTGATTGTTAAGGAACATGAGTGGGCTTGGGCACGACGCGTCATGGCTAAGAAGGGGACAACGGAGGTGGTCGCGTGTGATGGGGTAATGCGTGTGTACATCTGACCAGCATGGAAGGATAAGCAAAAATTCCCCTTTAGAACTCCCTCGAATGGAGATCTGTCTGCCAGCATTGGTAAGTAATGTCAGGACTGCACCTTTATCCTCTTACCTGTTATCCATATGTATGTTTTACCGTGAGGATAAAATGAGTAATCTGTATGAATAACAAATCAGATCAAATAAGTATTTATCTCTGTCGCAGTAATAAATGATCAGAATATTAACAGACAATCTTTAGCAAATAAAACTTTGTAAATACTGTAGACACAAAATGATAAGTTTCTACTTCCTACAATCACAAAATTTTATTTTAATAAATATATTCAAGTCACACAACATGAACTTAATATCACAGATTTATTGTGAAAGTCCCATTGTGCAGAAATTTGCATTTTATTTTATACCCAAGTATAAATTATTCAAAAATGGAAATGCAATTGTTAAGGCATACAATGCTTGAGCAGCTCATGTCTGAGAGTTCAAATACACGCAGGCTTAACTTACCATAAAATCTGCATACAATAAATAATAAATTACTAAAACATTACTTTCTAAAGTGCAAGATTGTGAAGCCGGGAAATGCTTTGTAGCCTGTTGCCTACCACTATTATCCCTGAGATGAAGAACATTTGGTTCAGAAATAAAAACCCCAAAGGCATTAAACATATTTATTTGCACACATAAAATCAGAACTGCTACAAACTATACACAACTTCAATCGAGGAAAGAGATATGTGAAAGTCAAATATCCACATCAAAAAAATCTGTTTCAAACGAAATACAAAAATAGACCTCACGTCGTATCTCCACATTGAAATGAAATTGACATTTTGTCCATCATTATTGGAAATTTTATGTAACCAGCATAATTAGTTTAAACAATTATATTACGTCTTGATTTGAAGCTTTCGTGACTGCAGGAATCCATACTCTCTGGTTCTTTAGGTAAAGTCACGTAGATAGAAAAAATAACAAAAAAAACACGACGTTTCGGGCGCAACACAACAGCAGATAATTTTCTCACCTGAAGACGGACGCTTGTGTTCTGACCGAAACGTCGTGTTTTTTTTGTTCTTTTTTTTCTATCTACGTGACTTTACCGAAAGAACCAGAGAGTATAATTATATTATGGCCTGCTTTCAATACTCTGGATCAACAAACCCGTCTGCTGACGACACCTAGGAGATCAAAACCGCGCAATAATTTAACTTGCTTGATTCAATGGTGCTGAATAAAATATGTGTGGAAGAACTAAAATATATATTTTATGCATTAAACAAGCAAGCTTCCCTATTAGCACGTCTCTGTCGCCTGCCAAAGTGTGTGGAGGTCAGGACAAGCAAAAAAATAATGCAATTCAAGAGAGTGAATCGTGTGTTTAGGATTGGCCTTCCATGCAATTATTGTGTTGAAAATTACGAAATTAGAAATATACGAACAAGCATCGCCGCAAATGTGAAATCTTGGCAAGACCCTCCTGAAAAACAGTCACGAAACTCGTGGTAACAAAAAATTAATTGGGCTAATAATGGGGCCTTGTGAGTTTTGCAGATTCTTGCCATTATGCTGTTTAACCTAAATATTTTGCTTCCGCACACATTACAGGACAATACTGTATATTTAAGTGAGTATAACATACCTCGGAAACCACTCCCAACTTATAGATTGCATGCATATACTGTAACTATTGAACAGTTCTGAAATTGTATGTATGTCAATTGTTTGCCTGGAAAAGCATCACTGAGTCTCAAACACTAATAATCAGGAGGGTCCTGCTACATTGAGATATTTGGCCAATCCTATTACTGAGTGTTTGGCTTTGTAGGAATAAACTGAAGATACGACAGGGTGACATTCACCATTGCCATCTTATGTCCACCTCAAGACATATGGTGTATTTTTTTTAATAAACATCACCATACAGTTTTGCCATCATTTAGAAAAATTATGTTATGAAGTTCAGTTTGTTATTTTTCTATCTAAACAGAAAGGCACACACGTGTTGCCAGCTGTATTTGACAGTAGTCAAATATGGCACAACATATCACACATTCTGGCAGAAGGCCATGTACCAGAGCTCAATCTACACACATCCACTCAATAAAATTGAGCAATTATTTTGTCTTTTGTCTGCCTTTAGATGGGTGGAAAAAATTCCACGACACACCTTGCATGCGTATGTTTGTTGTAAAATATTGAATTATTAAACAAATATTGAATGATATGGACAAAATTGCGGCTCGTGGGTTATTAAGGATCTTGAGCCTTCCTTAATTATTAAAAAGGGGGAGATGGATGACAGTGTCCTGTGCACAATGCTGCAGCAGATTTTCCATATTGGGTCAAGAATAATGTTTAAAATATGTATACACCCTCTGTATTCAAACGTGCATAGGTTGCTTAAGCTGTACTTAAAATGATACAAACGTTTCAATGTAGGACTCGCTATCATCATTGGTGTCACCTATGACTTCAGTGGTAACTTTTTTATTAGATACAAGAAACCATGGCAATATATGAAAACATGAATCGCTTTATTAATGTGGCAGCTAACCTATCCATGCTGTTTATGGTAGTCAATACTTCATGTTGAACATAAATCAAAACCAGAGGCTCTTCCAAAATTGTACTTACATCTTGTTTAAAATATACGCATGTCCTTCCTCGAAACAAATAATACTAATTTATAGTCCTGTCGGTCCACTGCTGGGTGAAGGCCTCCCATACTGTCAGTTATGGGAGGGTTTTTGTTTACCATTCTGCACTACGCTGGTGAGTGTTGATTGGTGAACGGGATTGGTAAACGAGTCCAGCACTGTGTCCCAGTATCACTCGCCACTTCGTTAGCCATGGCCAGGAATTGAATTCAGGTCACCATATGCAAAGTACAGTGAATGAACCACTGAACCACCATGTCTGCATTTGTTACGGTAGTCTGCTTTTTATTTGACCCATACATGTGTTGTAAATTAGGCAAAAATTGAATAAATCTCATCATACTGTGATGTGTGTACAGCATACATACAACTGTAGTAATAACCTCTATTCTTGCGACAATGTCTTTCTCTTTCTGATATTAACCTCCCCTGCTGCTTATAGGCCCTATCTACTCCTGTATCCTCGGCCATCCACACCCAATACTCAGCTATCCCTGCCCTTTGCCCATTTCATGAGTCGAGCATGAGTCCAGAGAGTGTTAAACCAGGACAAAAGTCCAGAACATCACGAATACTTCATGAGACATTGGAAGCAGCCTTTCAAAAACAGGACTGATCGGGCCAAACCAGGAGATTTCGTAGTCATAGCAATGCTTTAACAACCGCAAATTGAGTTGGTGCCCTCTCCTCCTCCCTCATTTCATCAGGTGGTGGGCAGGAGACTGGCAGAAGTGCTCTGCCACGTGTGGACGTAATGGTACGGCGCATCGCACAGTCCTGTGCTTGCGCAGCATCGGGCCGGATGCACAGAAGGCTCTGACCAACTCCGAGTGCCAACATCTGCCCAAGCCCAAGCTGCAGAGCCCCTGCAACCAGCACGTGCCGTGTCCCTCGCGATGGGTGGTCGGCAACTGGACTGAGGTCAGAACGGGAACCCGCAATGGCATTCAATCACTGCGGGAGCAGCCATCCACAGCCTCTGCTCGCTTGCCACCCTGTTTATTTACTTTCAAGCATTTGCGTTGGTAGCTCTGTGATGTGATTTTGACTTTTCCACATGTTGTAGTAATAGGTTTTTACCCTTTCAACTGGTACAAAACTGACACCTTTATACAAGGACATCATGTTTGCAGTCAAAATGCAAACAAAAAGAAACTACTCTGATAATGATAATGATATGCACTGTCCTTGAAGTTGATTGGTCCACACCCGAGACAGCTTTTCATAGAGCCTAGTCTCCATTGGTGTTGGTACAGATGACGCCAAAATGCGTACGTTGTTCAGCAGGGTGTTTGCCATTTCGCTCCACGTGCTCAGATCTCAATTATGTTTCTGAAGAAGCACCCAGCAGGTGGAGCATAATGTTGTACATCATGCCAAACAATACAAGGTGCAACCTGAAAACATCAGAGCTGTAACAGAACAGCCACAAAGATCTAAGTAGCTGTATTTTTTGTTGTTGATAACCGATGTGGTGGAATGTTGCCGATGGTGAGCAAATAAGGTTGCATGTGGGTCAACAACTCACATATTTGGTACAAATAATTTTGAAATGTATTTGTTGCACATACAACAAGTTCCCTTATTTGCCAAGTGGGGTCATGTGGTGATCATGGCAACCCAACTTCTATATCCATCATGCTGTAAATGACGTAGCCTCAATTGTTATTTGTTATGTTCACATTTTTTTCTTATTCTGTATATTCAGAGGCCGAGCAGACACTTTCCCTTGCGTACATTGTCTGCGCTCCCCAGGCCAAACTGCCCAGGCAACAGGGGAGGGTAGGGGTCAGGCCTCCCAGGGGGTTTGTATCATAGACATCGTATGCTGTGATTTTGCAATTGGGAGTAACTTTGTTGCGTCTCTTCCCTGTTGATTTGTGCAGATAATGTTGTAATTTGGCAAAAATGGACCAATACGCCTGCTCACGTGGCTATACCTATACATTATTAATAATTATCGATTTCGGCTGAGATTAACTTTAATGGCTAAGTAACGTGCAAGCATGTTGGAAAAAAACAGAAGCAATAACGTTCCATTGTTCAGAATTGGATTTGTAAAACATTGGAATGCATGCAACAAAGTTGTACATCAGAAACTTAAACCTGTTTATCGTCGGCTTGACACGTACTGTTACATTGCGTTCCGTTTGTCAGACTCGAGTCATGAATTTGATGACTTCAGACTCGACTTGGACTTGCATAACAATGACTTTGTCCCACCTCTGGTACTGTTACATTGCTGTTCAAGTACAGTGTACAATGTAAGCATACAATACACAGGGTCACACGTATACAGTCCTGTGCATGTACACACGCTTGTGCATGAACATATACCCGTGTACATATATGTCACATCTATGCATATTCACACTCAGACACACGTGGAGGTTGTGTACATTGGGGGTGTGTCAGGTTGTAAACCTGGTTAAAAAATAATTATCCGCAATCAGGAATGCAGCCAGTATCGTGACAGCCCGAGAAAGTTGTTCTACATAGAAGAGCACTGAGTGCCAAGACGTGAGCATTATTTACACAGGTTTTTGGCCAACACTGCCGAGATCCGCAGGGTCATAGTGCAAATAATCAGTGAGGAGCTTTGAGGGAGCCAGTGGCATGCATGGAAGGCAGCTCATTTAGCGCCTCTCAAGAGAGTGAGCATAAAAGCCTATACTGTAAACCCAAGTTTCCATGACGGTGAGAAATGAGGCAGGAAAGGCAATGGTCTCCACATGATGTGGTTGATTCTTTGCAGCGCGTTATTTTAGCTTAAATGTGTTTTTTAAATACATATTTTTGTCTAATGTGATGGTAAAGTGGCACAGTGCTAACACGTGTGCCTCACAGCAATACACACCTGGGTTCGATTGCTAACTCAAGTGTCTTTTCTGTGAGAAGTTTGTATGTTATCCCACTGTTTCGGGTTGGTTTCCTCTGAGTTGGCCAACGATCGAAATGCTGAAAAATTACCTGCAAATTACTGAATTGGAGATTGACTCCCCTCAAGAATCTTGAGATTCAATTAGGCTTTCCTGCGTGAACAAGAGTATATATGATGAAATTAATATGGACAAATGAATATAAAATAGCCTTTGTAGACTATGAAAATTAAACTTAAAGGAAATTAATTCAGTCATCAAATTGATTGAAGCTCTCACAAACCAAGGCCTAAGTTTAAAATTTCCAAAATCTAGAAATGACAAAAAGTATGTACAAGTATGAAATATGCACAATGGGTTTGCATGAATAAATAATACAGTTTGTAATAAGAAGATTCAGGCAAAAGTTACACGTTCTCACCAAAGTTATTCACAGTAACATATTGTTTTCCAAAATGTATAGATATACTTCAATGGTAGATGTTTAATGATGCATTATTATACTCATATTACGTACTCCCCCTCGTTATTAATGAGAGGTACGTTCCGGAGATGCTCGTGAATAACACATTTCACGGATAATATGTTGGCTTATGAAAACCTATCTTTGAAACAAATCACCTTAAATAAATACATAATACTACCACTTTTTCGCATCACATTCTCTCTCGTAGATTTATCTCATCACTTTCTCTTCGTGAACAACGAGGGAATACTGTTTCGGGGTAGAGTGGGATAGTTTCTGGGAAGCGGGACATGGGATTGGCCGAGATGTTCATGGAATTGGGAAAAAGGCGAGAAAACAGAATGATTGGTGGAGAAGAGGAGAAGATGAGACGATGAGAAGATGAGAAGATGACAGATAATCTGTCCAAAAGTATTTTTCAGGCAGCCTAGGGAAACGTTATGTCTTGTGCAACGTAAACCACTTTGATTCAGTCCGGTAAATGGCAGATTTTTATTCCTTTAATTTAGGAGCTCCCCCTTACAAAACTCAGCTCACACAAAAGTTTAGGAAGTGACGCCCTGCTATGGCCAGGGGCTTGTCCTTACATGCTCTGTGTATATTAATATGCATGAGCACACCTCGCATGAATATGCATAACATGTTACATCACATCGAGATGAATATACATGAGCTTGCTCCATGTCACACCTAGGTCCATCAGAACGGTCCACTATACTGTCATACAGTTCAACACAATACCACCAGATCTCAATACAAATCAACTCCTGCCACCTGAACACGGATGCCATTTTCCGAGCTGTTCGGGTCACATAGGACACATGGCAATCCAGAATGTTGGCAACCCGACATTAACACGACCGCTGCAGTGTCTAGAGGCCACTATATTCACATCATGACCATGAATTTCAATAATTTGTCGCCTAAAATTGGAAAAGGGGTGGGGGATCATAATATCTCTAATACATCTTATGAAATGCATATTTTCAACAAGGGGCCATCTTGTACATGCTTCTTCTTATGTATGGCTGACGTAAATTCAGAGCAACAACTACAATTTCGCATTGTTTGGCTCTGACGAGGGCCCTTGGTGTGGCTTGTGTTGTTGCTCTGGAGACCGGGAAATCAATGGTTGATGTTCGGTCGCCGCGTTGATGCCATTTGTTGTGATTTCTCACTTAACAGAGTGGGTCGCGTGAAGTCTGCCATTAGCAGCGTGAAAGTTTCCTACCACCATATTGCCTTGTCCCAGATTTCATTGGATTTCTCACGATTCCCAACGCTAAAATGGACACGTCAATTGCACACAGGAGCCCATTTAGCACGGCCTGAAAGCAACCCCGTTAAGGAGACATTGTCACACCAATTATTTCCAGATGCCAAAATATGGGTAAAAAAATATCCAAATGTCATTAACCCTTCACCGAGAGTTGCAACAATGAGGTTCAAAGTACAACTTAGTTCTATATATATCTATTTTCTTTTTCTCTCTTTCCATTGTTTTGGCATTCTCATTGTTTCACAGATGATAGCTGAGGACTACTGTTGTGCTGGTTTGCCAAGGTCTATTGAGAGCATTGCACCCTGGTTCTTTGTCCCTTTGTACATTCATAATGAAAGGAAATGTTACAAGTGGGTCAGTTTCGTTGCTGATTACTAGCCTGAATAAACTAAGCATACAAAAGATGTTAAGTTATGACAGCAGTTGATGTAAGTTTGCTGTGAAATCAGTGATAATTTGCTGTTTCACACCTTTGTTCCATAGGGCATTTAACATGGCACATTGGGTGCTGGCTAACTGTAATAGGTCTACATTATGCCTGTAGCAAAGCTTCTTTCTCATCATCTTCCATTCTTTCCCTTGAACTGCAGATATCCAAAAGTGCTCATTAGTGGTAAATATTTGAGCAAATATTACTTTATTTCATTGTGAGACAGAATTGTCTAAGTTATGGCAGTAGAACCAAAAAAAAACATACTTCAAAAACAATTCTGATTGCTGTTTACGACTGGATATGCTGAAAAGTGCCGTAATTTTCAGACGTTAAAATAGAGGGCACAGCTCAATAATTTGTGTGACAATTCCTCATCTCAAACTTTTGAAATGCAGTGAACGCTGCCGTGCAAAGTTGAGAAAAACTGTGCAGTTAAATGCATAAAGCCCAACTTAAATAGTTCTAAAATCGGCATTGAGTTTAACATTGTGATTGTAGTATTCAATTGAGTCGACTATTCCTGTTGTTAAAAATGTTCACCAAAGAGCAGAATTGCGTTACAAATGAATCCTATATCAGCATTTATACTTAATTAATTTTACATTTAAGAGGAATTACTTTCACAGACAATAGGATGAAAACTCCTCTTATCTGCAAATGTAATTATCCGTGAACACCCACCACCACAAATTCAGTACAAAATAGAGTTCCACATCAATACGCCGTCTTAATAAATAACACGAGAAACCAGTGGGCCTTTGCAGTACCAGCAGTACACAGAATCAATGTAAAGCAGCCAGGTTTGACTGATGACCTGGAACCCACAGATTCACTGCGATCACTCGCTCGTCAGTGGCCAGTCGCATCCTTATCACCCTCGTATCACTACTATCGCCATGGTCACAGCAACACATTCCTCCACCCACATTGAGGAACTCGCTCTCCCAACCAGACTGACGTTCATGTCACCTGTGACGTGTGTTCAACCACCACACTGCAGGTCAAAATAATTATCTTTCTGCTTCTTCTCTCAAATTGCTCGACTTTGGAATCCCTCTTCCATTGTTTCTTTTCCCCAAGTTCGTGTAATCTTGCTCAATTCACAGAACACATGAACGCTTATCGCGAATCAATTAAAGTGCTGTTTGCCCATGGGAGCTTGGCATTTTGAAGCGTTGGACCCTGTGCTCAGCAACTGTGTTAAATAAAAATATTTATATAGAACTACCAAACTTTTGAATTCCCATCTGTAGTCTCTTCTACAGTTTTTATAATCTTACTCACCTCAAGATTAGTGTAAGTATTTATACTGACGATAAGCTCACTTGGTGCGTGAAAGTTTTTTTGTTTAGTGGATTTGTTAAGCGCACTTCCCCTTCTCCCCCCACCCACCCCTTTTTCCCTTTACCTGTGTTGCTCTTCCCTTGCCTTCCCTTCCTCATATAAAACTCTAAGCTCCCGCTTGCAGTCCCTACATGAGCGGGGCATTGAGCCCAAACGTCTCCCCTTCCTAGAACCCAGGAGCAATGAGTTCAGGCATCGGGCTGAAACATTTGTGTACCCCCCCCCCCCCCCCCCATTGTTAGTTTGTGCCTTGTACCAAGTTCTTGTCAAAAATATAGTGTAAGCCTTATGTATTACAACTTCAATAGTGCTGTATTATTGCTGAGCTTGTGCTCAACAACTGTGATTTGATTTTCTTTGTTAAATGTATATATACACAGTCAAAACACAGTGCTGCGTGTGTGTGCTGTGTGCACAATGACACCTTGCTGCCGGCTCGACGATCCTTGTTCACTTTTGTGTGTCTCAGTGCTCGGTGACGTGCGTTGGCGGAGGGGGGAAGAGGACGCGCTCGGTGGAGTGCGGTGACGATGCTGGCGCCACCTGTGACCGTGACACGAGACCGTCCTCCGAGAGTGCCTGTAGCACGTCGGCAGCCTGCCCTATTGGCGGAAAGGAGGCAAACTCTGGCGGTCCCCTGAAAAAGCAAAACAGCAGCTTCCCGGGGAAGCAATTTGACGGCCTCGCTAATCGCGGATTGGAGGGCGACCAGCTGCCCATTGCGCATGTGACTGTGCCTTCCTTTGTTGCGCCCCAAGTCTTTCCATCTAATAATGTGTCATCAGGTAATGATGACTATTATGTGCAGCCCACTACACAATCCATAGAAAATAGTGTCCCAAACAGCCAAGCCACACATCCCACAGTGGGCAGTTTGTATGATGACTATAATTTTATTGGTTTCCAGGAAGACCTCCTCTATGATGCTGATACTAATGACCCGATAATCAATGGCAGCAAATTACCTCTTGTCTATGACGATGAGTTACTCAGGTCATCCAACAAACCACTGGGGGAGGAGACCACAACTACTTCAGCTACGTTTGCACATTCACCAGCCCATGTGGGACAAAAATGGCTGTCTTCAGAATCTAACGAATTAAACCCGACTGGCAATCCAAGCACGGTCACAGGAGGGTTAGTAGTAAATGTTGAAAAACTCCACAATATTTCATCATCTTCCAAAAGTCAAAACAAGCTGACAAGGAATAAGAGTGGCCACAAGAAGAAGAAAACTCCCCTCGGGGCATCTGTGGCTCCCAGTGCAAAGACCGCAACGTCGACCTCACTGGACACTTCGCTGCCACCCAACGGCAGTCGCTTTTTCCATCCGACTTCTTCTTTCCCAACTCGGCCTCACATTGAAAGCACTGTGTCAGCAGCAAAGAACATGGTCCACCCTACTCAAGATCGAGATCCCCGCTGGGTGGTCGGCAACTGGAGTGAGGTACTGAGAATTTCTCGAACAAAATACAAAGTGGTCAAAGACTCCCCTCCTTTTCTGCCACTCTGTCGTTAGTCTCAACCACTAGCCATTGTCCCGTCTAGCCACATCCTGTTCAAGCTCACTTACTTTTCTTAACAGATTATCCCATTTAGACTTCAGGGGAGATGATTTGTAGAGGAAGCATTCAGGGAGGGGACAGGGCAGATGAGTGGGGGAGGTGAGTCAGATTCTGAACTTTCTGCGGCATGAGAGTCCTGATATGCGCTTGTTTGCAGTGCTCAGTCACGTGCGGCCTGGGGTCCATGTGGCGCCGGGTGGAGTGCAACGCAGGGGAACCGTCGCTGTGCACGGCTACAAAGAGGCCCACCCCAGCCCGGCGCTGTCACGTACAGCCCTGCGCCACCTGGATCGTCGGCGAGTGGACCAAGGTGGGGCGACGGAATCGGTGGCGTAGCCTGGTTGGTATGGGCACTGGTTAGGTTTGCCACTTCTGATGTGCCAAAAAACCGAGATATATCATGGGAAGAAGAATATCTCACAATACCAGAATCGGGGAGAACTACACGTGAATGCGTCGTCTTTAATGGTATATTACACAACTGACAAAACTGGGACGTTTGATGTCCCGGGGGAGATTTACAGATTTCCCAGGACATCTCCCTCGACGAGAGGACAATCCTGGGAAAACCAGGACAGGTGGCAACGCGAGTCCTGGTCCAAGGAATGAACCGGAGCCCCGTTGTGCACCCTCCCCCTCTCCGCTGCCCGGTGCCTGGGTCTCTGCAACCCGAGAGCCCAGTTGCAACACCTGCACCATTGATAGCTGCAGCACTGGTTACAGTAATTAAGGTGGTCTGAAAAGTGGTAGGTGGGAATTGTTTGTGCGGCGGTGCTAAGATAATTAGTCTCCCCTCTGTGTATGTGGGTTTTGCCGATCATCCGGCATAGTTAAGCGTTAAGGCGGAGGAGTTTATTGCTTTTTTTCATATTCATGTATTCATTTTAGAGCAACAGGAAATGCAGCTGCTTCCCTTTGAAAGTTCTCATCCCCATGGCTGCGCTCATTTTTCCATTTACAACAGGAGATTTAACAGGCAGTCAGAGCAGTGTTCAACTAACCACAGCATTGCAATCATTTCCCATAAAATAGGGCTGCCATCATTCACCAATTCCCCGCTGCACAATGATCTCCAGGCATGTCAAGCAGGATAGAAAATGTTTACGTTGAAGGTCCCGCCATTTTCATCAACACGTTTTCGTCAAGGCTACACAATTAGACAACTGTGTTGTGGACAAAGCGTTTCAACAACCATACATTTGGTTTTATATAAAAACAAACTCAACTATAAGTTTGAAAATCTCTTAAGGTTTATGGACTTTTTCCAAGGATTAAATGAGCCTTTAGAAAATGTATTTTTTTACATTTCGTATGCCTTACACTTTGGAGTGTTTTAGCGCGAGCTATTATGAACATGCCGTCAAACCCAACCTTGCCTTAAAGGCCCGATTCATGACGGACACAACCAAATACACATTGCACGCAGGCCCTGTTGAATGCGATTCATCACGCCTCATCACGTTCCGCCCATCCACGTTCAATTTGACCGATTCAGAGGCAAGTTCAGCTTTAGCACACAACAGGAAAAATCGTCTTAGACCAGAGAACGCCAAAAGACGTTTTGGCATCCTTTGGTCTAACACCGTTTTGAGACTCGGCTAAAAAAAAGCTGTCTCTGCTGTGGACCAATCAATTTCAAAGACAATTGCATATATTATCAGAGTATGTTTTTTGTTTGCATTCTGACCACAAGTATTGTGGTTAATGCAGACATGATTCCTTGTAAAACGTTTCAGTTTCGTGTTCTAACATCTTAACACCTGTTTTTTGCCAGAAAAAAGGGGAAAACGTATTCTCATATTTTGGTACTGGCAAAGGAGGTCCCATGATGTAATTTTTATAAATGTTTAAATGTATTTGTTCTTACCTTGTCTACTTCCTTGCTGTGCTTAAGTGATTTGATCTTTAAAAAAAAACTCACGGACTTTCTACTACGTTGTACAGTCGAAACATCACCATGCAAAAATATGTTCAGTTATGTTGGAAGAGGTCATAAATGACATTTCCGTGTCGTAAATCTATTAATGGTGGCCTCATACTGTATACATGTCGTAAACGTGTGTCGCATTACATGCAGGATTGTAAACTGGATGTAATGTTTCCCAAATTTTTCATCAACATCTTTTTTTTAAAGATTACACACACAGTTGCTTGCCACAAATGAACCACAATACCTGGCTGATCTCGTCAAGGAGCATAAACCATCACGCGAACTCCAGTCATCCTCGTAGTCGCGTTTGGCTCGTCATCGAACAAAGACAGTCACTGCATCACGCGCTTTTCAACGCTAATGCGGCTGTCTGGAACGCTCTTACGATATTAGGAAACCACTGCAGCTATGCACTTAGATTGAAGAGTAATTTATTTAGAACTGCTTTTTATGTTAATTGTTGTCCTTCCCCCTCATCTCCGATTAGCATGGTTGGCTATGTATGGTGCGAAATAAGTTAGTTATATATATTTGTACATGCATACCTAAGGGTAAACTAAATGCCCTCTAGAAAGGTTCACTGGAGCTTTCTCTAGTGGAGGCCTTTCTGCCAGCAGTGGCATGAGCGAGCAATTCATTACAGGACTGCATCTTTTGACTCGTCCCAGATGTAGATTGTTGTCTCCTACGTGGCACGTGGTGCAGTGCTTGGAGGGCTGCGGAGGAGAGCGGCGGACGCGCGAGGTGCTCTGCGTGGACAAGCGGGACGGGCGACCCTTGCGACCTTTCCACTGCCAGTCCCTGCTGTCCCAACCGCCCGACTCCATGTCCTGCAACACCCCGCCGTGCCTTGCCTGGGACGCTGGACAATGGAGTCCCGTAAGTGGCAGGGACTCGGCCCATTAGGGCGTGCAGACAGTGAGTGGATTGACGCTGCATAGCACAAGCCGCTTGGGGTATTCGCGAAAATAATTTCAACAGTATGGTTGTGAAATGCGGTCATGGAATTGGAATATTTTGGGCAGTTTTTTGCAGGAATTACCATTTGTTTTGTGTGACATCTCATGGCTCACTCCCTCTTTTAATCGGAGGTGATGACAAGAGTGAATGTTTGACATACATTTTCATCTACTTGTCTAGACAATGTCGGTACATGGTTAAAGGCTGTTGAGTAACAATGCAATAGTTGCCAGAGAGGAATTAAACAACGAGGTGTAAGTGCTTGGACTACTCAACAAGAGACGATGCTTTCCACAACAGTGAAAAAATATATTTTCATTCATCCCACAACTGCATGAGACAATATAGTGCATTTTAATTGGTTTCTATTCCAAACTTTGTTGGTTTCTTGAGAGTAATTCTTTGTATTGTTTAGAACTTGACCATGAGGAGCTGGTCAAAGCTGAAGATGAGGGTATGAATGAGTTATTTCTTCCTAAATTTGAAACAGATGATACTGGTATACATTGATAAAAATGAAACGTACCGGCTGTATACAAACACCACTGTCCCTGGTCGTCTCACAATCAGGGGAAGAGTGTTAAAGGACATCCACAACTCTGTAGCGTCACCATGTGTAAAGGGGGAACCATGCAAAAAATAAAGGGGGCTGAGCCTTCAGAAGGTGGGAATCAGCCCCCCTCATCCCACACATTATGGAGGTGGATATCCATTATTACACATAAACAAGTTTAACGTTTATTTTGTTTAACCAGGTTAGAACTCATGTGACCAGGATAATCTTATTATGTATATATGTTGAACTTATTTTGCACCATACGAAGCCAACCGTGCTAATGTCATGAGCAAGAGTGACTTGAGGCATTTGTCTGCCAGTAGGGGGTGATACTTGCCATGTATAACCCCGGTTGAGTAATTTGTGGCTACATTTCAAAGTTGGCAAATTTTGACCCTGACTCCAGCACACAATGGCATAGTCTTGCATATGTTCGCAGCAGCGGCCAGACACAAATATGATGGACGACAACCATGAGTGAATGCGTGCTTGTGGAGAAATTAACAACAGAGTGATGGGTTCCTGCGGTCTCCGTTCCGTGGCGGCAGTGCTCACGTGCGTGTGGGGGAGGGACGCAGCGGCGCCCCGTTCTTTGCCCCAAGCCGGGACGATGCTACAAGAAAATGAAACCTGACAGCAGCCGCGCTTGCAACCCGCAGGCCTGCGCCGAGTGGCTGAGCGGACCCTGGGGCGAGGTGAGGGAATTGACAATTGCAAATCTGTTATCTTATAATATATGCAAACATATGCACAAAGCTTCTTTGTAAATCACTAATTATGCTCTCTTTAACTTTTTTTTGTTTAATTTCAGGTGCCTGCAAGTTTAATGTATATTGCTGATTTTATCCAAATTTGTAGCATAATCTTGGATTTATATTGCAAACAGATTTGATAATTAACTTTTTGTATTCTTCCAATATTCAAATTGTGCCATCAGTCTCATGAGACAGTGTCCAATCGGAACTCTTGCAGAGCCATGTATCACTCCCCATACGTTCGAGAGTGGTCCATGGAGAGATATATCACAGAACCGCGGCACTTTTGACATCCCTTAAAGTGATATTTTTAATCAACACTCAAGGAGTTGCACTTCCCACATGCCGTGCTCCAAAAAAGTGTTTGTCTCACAGTAATCAAGCTTATATTGTTTTAATTCTTAGAGCTGGAATTCGGCCAAATTAGGTAGAAAACCAAATTTTACGTGATGGGATTTTTTTGTTGCATTAAAGGGTCGAGACCATCAACTTTGCTTACACTTGAGAACCTAGTTGATCACAGGCAGGTTACCCAGATCTGAACAAAGAATCTCAGTGGTGCCAGCTCAGGCCTCTAAACTCTGATCCACCAAGCCACGACAGTTTACAAGTGTATTACAAAAAAACGCAAACGTGTGACAATAAAAAAAAAATTCTGCAGCACATATGAACACATCAACACAACAAAAAAACTAATTTATAAAATGCCACGCCAACAAGGCATTGTACAGATCACTTTGAGTCCCCCACACACACAGCACAGACAGTCAGCACATCTGTAAAGCATCTCAGGCACCTCTTTAACCTCGCTGACACATCGCTTCTCAATGTCCCACCCCACAACTACCCTCCTCCCAACCCCGTGTTTTCACAGTGTTCGGCAGCCTGTGGGGGAGGCGTTCAGAGGCGGCTCGTGAAATGCGTAAATGCCACAACGCGCAGAGCAGAGGACAACACGACCCTGTGTGAGCACGTGCCACGGCCGGACAATGCTCAGAAATGCAATATCAATGAGTGTGAGACTCATGACCCAAGTAAGTATAGGCAAGGCTTAACCCCACTCACCTCTGCATTCCTATATCCTCTTAAGTGTTTGGTGTGCTGCAACACTCTTAGAGAAATTGATTTGATTAAAATAAGTTAGGGATTCTATCCTTGCACGAATCACAATTCTCCAGACTGTGCGCTACAAATTCCAGTGATCGTTGTATCTCCAAGTAATGGTCTGCAGAAAAGCTTTGGAAAATAACCGTAGATGCATCATCAGTCTGGCACTCGCATGCAGGAAGTGATTAGGTAATGCATCAAAACGAAACGAAAAATATAAGTTATCAACACTGCCACATTGAACTTGAGGATTTATATACTACGAGCTATACGGTGTGCCTGACCATCCAAAATCAAGTTATATACATTAATTAAATTTCAATTATCATAACTACAAAAGCTAGAATTGTATCTACTACTTGGTTGATCATTGTAAAACCACTCACGTTGCTTTTATATTATGTACCCTATAACCTGCCGGCTCATGAAATATTATTTTAGATTTGCTTCTCTCTCCAGTTAAACTAGACTTTGCATTTACATGAGAAGTGGTGCATGAGTGTGGATTTGTTATACTGACAGTTCCAGTTTACAAACACATTATAAATCTGCAGTTTGGCTGATAAGACAGCTGGTAAAGTATATCAGAATATATCTTTTTTTGGGTGAAGGTCAGGCTGGGGGAATCGTGCAGTTGTCTTTCTAAAATGCCACCCAAGAAGCATGGATTGGACGTATGTAAATATTAGATGGCACTGCCTCTATTGGAAATGAAAAACAAATTTTGAAAGCCTGCAAGACCCAGGCAGCTATGTACAGTGCCGAGAAAAAGTTTGTGAACCCCTTAGGATTTTCACATATTTTACATATTTCAAACCTAAAATGTTATTAGATCTTAATCTAAGTCCTAAAAATATGTAAAGATAACCGGATTAAGCAAATTACACAAAACATGATACTCTTTCAACGTGTGTTTATCCTCAAATTATTCTACATTCAATAACCATGTGTGAAAAAGTAGATTCACCTTTAGATTTGATCACTGGTGGCACCCCCTTAAGCAGCAAAGACTGCAACTCAGAATTTCCTGTAACCGTTAGTCAGTCTCTCGCATCAGATTTGTGGAATTTTGGCCCATTCCTCCTTACAGAACTCATTCAACTCGGTAACATTTGAGGGTTGCCTTGTATGGACAGCTCGCTTAAGGTCCTGCCACAACATTGTAAATGGGGTTTAGGTCCGGACTTTGACTAGGCCATTGTAAAACGCAAATTTCATCTTCTTCTTTTGCAGATATATTTGTATGTTTAGGATCATTGTCTTGCTGCAAGAACCACGGTTCAGCTTCTGATACAATATAGAATTAATGGTTGTGTCAATGATGGCAAGCCATCCAGGTCCTGAGGCAGCAAAGCAGCCCCAAACCATCACATTCCCACCACCATGCGTGACGGTTGGAATGAGGTTCTTCTGTTCGAAAGCGGTGTTTGGTTTTCGCCAAACATAACATTTCTCATTGAAGCCAAAAAGTTCTACCTTTGACTGGTTTGTCCAGAGAATAGTTTCAGAAGTCTTGTGGATCATCTAATGTGCTATTTGGCGAACTTCAGACAGGCACCAATGTTCGTTTTGGAGAGCAGTTGTTTTCTCCTTGCTATCCTTCCATGAACACCATTCTTGTTCATTCTTTTTCTGATAGTTGAGTCATGAACACTCACATTAGCCAAGGCGAGAGTGGCCTGTAGATCCCTGGATGTTTCTCTGGGGTTCTTTGTGACTTCCTTGATCATTTTCTGGTTTGTTCTTGGAAAGATGTTTTTAGGAAAACTGCTCCTGGGTAGAAGTGACTGTGGTCTTGAACTTTCACCATTTGTAGACTTTCTTACAGTGGTTTGGCGGAGCCCCAAATCCTTATAAATGGTTTTGTAACTCTTTCCGGACTAAAGCGCCCTGGAAAGGACACTATATAAATCCGAAATAGAATAGAATAGATGAACATCAATAACTCTTTTTCTGAGGTCCTCAGAGATTTATTTTGATCATGGCACGACCTGTTTCCACACACATTTATGGTGAAGACCAAACTCACAGTTTCTGATCTTTATATTGGGTGGGGCCTCCCAAACTCACCTCTGAAGATCTACCTAAATATTTAAAAAAAACCAGGGGTTCGCTTACTTTTTCACATACCCTGAACCTTAATTACTCATTGATTGTTGAATTCATATATGATTTTGTTTCAAAGAACACGGAATTGGTTAATATACATCCTATTGTATATTTAAGAAAAAACGGGTTTGATTCAATAACGCTATGATGGTAGAACTATGGAATTTCCATAATTATCATTGGGGTTCATAAACTTTTTTGGCACTGTATGTATGTAAATTGAACTTCTTTCGCACCGTATGAAGCCAACCGTGCTAATTGCAGCTTTCAGTGCGATATATAAATCTAGACTATTGTTGATAACCATTTGGTGCTGTTAGTTGTGCAAGAAAGAAAGGCCTTGACTTCTGTGCACACAACAAATGAAATGAAATGCCCTTGCCTTGATATATTCCATTCAATTTCTCTATTAAAAATAAATATACGTCTTTCGGTAAAGTCCAAAGAACCTATCTACGTGACTTTACCGAAAGACCCAAAGAATATGAACACCGTACATCTTTCATTACTTTGGGTTCATAAAGTGGGCTTTAAAACACACACACTTACTTGAGTGACATGCTGTGTGCGTGGCTGTGTGTGTGTCAGCAGTATATGTGCTCGCTAATAGCACTTTACTCAACAGTCTGTAAAGGCTGTACGAGGGATTTTTGTCTTTGTGGGCAGCATTAGCGCAGTGTTTGGTGCACCTGGCGACCTGTGTTCAATTCCTGACAACGGCTACCGTCAGTGGCAAGTAGGCCTCGGCAAGGTAAGGTAAAAGTTAAAAGGTAAAAACGAGCCTATTTTTACCCTACCTTTTACCCTTTAGCAGGTAAGGTAAAAGGTAAAAAGCAACGAGCCTACCTTTTACCCTACCTTTTACCCTTACCCCATAGAAATTACCCGATTATAGGGTAATTACTAGGGAACTACACATGAACAAGGTTTATAACGGTAAATGCTAGGTAGAGCGCTTTACTCATATAAAATACTCTCGATGATTCCAATTTTACACGCTTGTTGTCATTGTTGTCGTTGTTGTCATTGTTGTTGTTGTCGTCGTCGTCGTTGTATCCTCAAATCTTGTAACTAAATTTTTACCCACTTCCTAATATGGTATCGACTGCAAACTTGGTATACTTATGTCATACTGATGACAATATTATATTCTATCATAAAATCATTTTTTAGATGTTATGTTTCGGCTTGAGTCTAATTGTCCACGGTCAACTGACGTTGGCTGTAAATCACCACGGTGCCTTACGTCATGGCAAGCTTCGGGGCCACTTCCTGGAGTCGTGGAGTTCTGCCATTACTCGTACATTTCATAAAAGCGTGTTTTTTTAAAAGTTGTTTTTAATATTACTTGTTAAATGGAGGCCACGGACTGCGCCACGGAGCTTTTAGCGGTAAACAAGGCACCGTATTTACCGGGTAATACTTCAAGCTACCTTTACCCTACCCTTTACCTTACCCCTTGGCATGTCGACATCTTTACCCTTTACCTTTCCCCTTTTACCTGGTAAAAAGGGTAAATTACCTTACCTTGCCGAGGCCTAGTGGCAAGTAATATCTGAACAGCACCTGGGCCTATTTAGAATCACAATTTTATGAGTATCTGGTGCAGTGTATCAACATCACCACTGGGGAGACAAAAGCACTGGTCTTGGGCACACCACCACACTCTTACGAGCCATGTTGACGTTCATAGGTGCTCACTAACAGCAATTACCTACTATAATCACCCATAAATGTCTGTCCGTCCCGCGCGTGGCGTCCCTCCACATGAGAACCATCCCCCAACCTGACGCCACTCCACACGAGGCCCACCCCCACCATTAATATTCATGAATGGATTTTTACACGAACGCAGAGGAAGGTCGAGCCGAATTAAATAATTTATAACACAAAGTCGCTTCAAATATGACGTTTCTTTACAGAAAGTGACGGTAAAAAATAAATCTACGCAGTACAGTGCGACATCCGTGCGTGACGTCACTGCAAAAGAGCCCCCCCCCCCCTTCATTAATATTCATGCCCGCGTGGAAATTTACACTAACGCACAAGAAGGTCGTGCACTCCACATGCCGCACCCCTCCCCTCATTAATAACCATGAGGGATGACGTCACTCCACATGCCACACCCCTCCTTAATAATCATGAGCGGGTGACGTCACTCCACATGCCACACCCCTCCCCAATAACCATTAGCGGGTGACGTCACTCCACATGGGGCAACACCCCGCCCTCATTAATAATCATGAGCTGTACAATTTTTCTATTGAATATTTCAGATTTACTGCAATATACACCCGTCCTTGGATGGGCAAAAAGCTAGTTGCCCCAATAGTCTGTTAAGGCTATACAGGAGATTTTTGGTCTTTGTATGTGTAACGACATAAATGGCGACAGTGGGTGTACTATGCACAAAGCCTCACTAGAGGGCAGATTCCGGATGTCACGGAGGTCGGGTCAGGACATGATACTCTGGGTGAACCCGTGAGAGCACGTGACCGGACGAGGGGGCACTGGGGCCCCCAGAAAGGGGGTGAGCGGGCCACGTGATGTGGACCTAGACTCTTCGTGAAGGATCGAGAAGGGGGCGTGTCCAGAGGCGGAGCCCGGTCATGCCACAGGAGATATAAGCTGAGCCCCGAGAGGGAGCATGGCTGTTCAATCCGGGAAGAAGTCGTCTTCTCCGATCTTCGCTGTTCAGTACACGACGAGACGACGGCGTGTCGGCAGTTCTTGTTCAACCATATCGGGAATCCGTTCAAGTGGTTAGGTAGATAGGAACGGTGGCCACCACCTTACGTAGTTAATCTGTAATGTACAT